CCTCCATCACCTCTCAGTGACCCCCAAACCTCGTCCTGGTGACCCCAAACCTCATTGTAGACCCCCAAAACTCATCTTCAACCCCATCCCACCTCATCCCACCCCCTCTCAGTGACCCCAAACCCCATCCCAGTGACCCCAAACCCCCTCCAATCATCTCTCAATGACCCCAAACCCCCTCCTTGGTGCCTCCCAACCTCATCCCACCCCACTGACCCACTGAATCACCTCTCAGTGACCCCAAACCCCCTCCCAGTGACCCCAAACCCCATCCCAGTGACCCCAAACCCCATCCCAGTGACCCCAAACCCCTCCAATCACCTCTCAATGACCCCAAACCCCATCCCAGTGACCCCAAACCCCATCCCAGTGACCCCAAACCCCATCCCAGTGACCCCAAACCCCCTCCAATCACCTCTCAATGACCCCCAAACCCCATCCCAGTGACCCCAAACCCCATCCCAGTGACCCCAAACCCCCTCCCAGTGACCCCAAACCCCCTCCAATCACCTCTCAATGACCCCAAACCCCATCCCAGTGAGCCCAAACCCCCTCCCAGTGCCCCCCACCCCAAGTCCCACCTTGCTGTCGTGGTGGATGAGGCGCAGCTCGTAGTCGGGCAGGATGTCCCACCCCATCCCAGTGACCCCAAACCCCCTCCCAGTGACCCCAAACCCCATCCCAGTGACCCCAAACCCCATCCCAGTGACCCCAAACCCCTCCCAGTGCCCCCAAACCCCTCCCAGTGACCCCAAACCCCTCCAATCACCTCTCAATGACCCCAACCCCTCCCAGTGACCCCAAACCCTCAATCACCTCTCAGTGACCCCAAACCCCATCCCAGTGACCCCAAACCCTCCAATCACCTCTCAATGACCCCAAACCCCATCCCAGTGACCCCAAACCCCATCCCAGTGACCCCAAACCCCCTGCCAGTGACCCCCACCTTGCTGTCGTGGTGGATGAGGCGCAGCTCGTGAGTCGGGCAGGACGTCCCACCCCATCCCAGTGACCCCAAACCCCCTCCCAGTGACCCCAAACCCCATCCCAGTGACCCCAAACCCCCTCCAATCACCTCTCAATGACCCCCAACCCCATCCCAACCCAAGTCCCACCTTGCTGTCGTGGTGGATGAGGCGCAGCTCGTAGTCGGGCAGGACGTCCCACCCCATCCCAGTGACCCCAAACCCCCACCCCAGTGACCCCCACCTTGCTGTCGTGGTGGATGAGGCGCAGCTCGTAGTCGGGCAGGATGTCTGCGCGCCGGTTGACGTCCTCCAGGGCCCCCAAACCCCATCCCAGTGACCCCAAACCCCCTCCAATCACCTCTCAATGACCCCAAACCCCCTCCCAGTGCCCCCACCTTGCTGTCGTGGTGGATAGGCGCAGCTCGTAGTCGGGCAGGACGTCCCACCCCATCCCAGTGACCCCAAACCCCATCCCAGTGACCCCAAACCCCATCCCAGTGACCCCAAACCCCCTCCAAACCCCATCCCAGTGACCCCAAACCCCATCCCAGTGACCACTCCAAACCCCATCCCAGTGACAGACTCCCAACCCCATCCAGTGACCTCACCCTGTCTCAGTGACCCCAAACCCCCTCCTCAGTGACCTCCCAACCCCATCCCAGTGACCCACTGACCCACTGAACCACCATCCCAGTGACCCCAAACCCCCTCCCAGTGACTCCCAAACCCCATCCCAGTGACCCCAAACCCCTCCAATCACCTCCCAGTGACCCCAAACCCCATCCCAGTGACCCCAAACCCTCCTCCTCAGTGACCCCACCCCCCCAAGTCCCACCTTGCTGTCGTGGTGGATGAGGCGCAGCTCGTAGTCGGGCAGGACGTCCCACCCCATCCCAGTGACCCCAAACCCCATCCCAGTGACCCCAAACCCCATCCCAGTGACCCCAAACCCCATCCCAGTGACCCCACCCCATCCCACCCCAAGTCCCACCTTGCTGTCGTGGTGGATGAGGCGCAGCTCGTAGTCGGGCAGGATGTCCCACCCCATCCCAGTGACCCCAAACCCCATCCCAGTGACCCCAAACCCCCTCCAGTGCCCCAACCCCATCCCAGTGCCCCCACCTTGCTGTCGTGGTGGATGAGGCGCAGCTCGTAGTCGGGCAGGATGTCTGCCGCCCGGTTGACGCTCCTCAGGGCCCTCAAACCCCATCCCAGTGACCCCAAACCCTCCTCCCAGTGCCCCCCCACCCCAAGTCCCACCTTGCTGTCGTGGTGGATGAGGCGCAGCTCGTAGTCGGGCAGGACGTCCGCACGCTGCGCGTCCTCAGGGCCCCCAAACCCCACTCCAGTGACCCCAAACCCCCTCCAATCACCTCTCAGTGACCCCAAACCCCATCCCAGTGACCCCAAACCCCATCCCAGTGACTCCCAAACCCCTCCCAGTGACCCCAAACCCCATCCCAGTGACCCCAAACCCCCTCCAATCACCTCAATGACCCCAAACCCCCTCCCAGTGCCCCCCACCTTGCTGTCGTGGTGGATGAGGCGCAGCTCGTAGTCGGGCAGGATGTCGGCGCGCCGGTTGACGTCCTCCAGGGCCATCTGCACGGCGGGCAGGCAGGCCTGGCCCCCCGGCCACCCCCCGCTCATGGGGAACAGGGCCCCCACGTGCACCGCCTTCCTGCCTGCGGCCCCCGCCGGGCGGCCCCCCAGAGCCAGGCTCAGCAGGGCCACCACCAGCGGCCACCACGAGCCCTCCGGGGGCCTGCCCGGCGGCCCCGACATTCCCGGAGGGAATGGGGGTCAGGAATGGGGCAGGAGAGCCATGGGGAGGGGAGAGGGTTGGGAGGATTTGAGGGGTTGGGATTTGGGGTTGGTTCGATTGGGCTGGGGATTTGGGGGGCTTGAGGTTGATTGGGGGTTGGTTGATTCGGTGGGGTTTGGGGTGGGTTTGAGGTTGATTTGGGGGTTGGTTTCGGATTCGGGGCTGGGGGTTTGGGGTGGTGGGGTGGGTTTGAGGTTGATTTGGGAGGGTTGGTTTCCGGATTCGGGGCTGGGGGTTTGGGGTGGGGTGGGGGTGGGTTTGGGGTTGATTTGGGAGGGTTGGTTTGATTCGGGGCTGGGGGTTTGGGGTGAGGTGGGGTGGGTTTGGGGTTGATTTGGGGGGTTGGTTTCGGATTCGGGGCTGGGGGTTTGGGGTGAGGTGGGGGTGGGTTTGGGGTTGATTTGGGAGGGTTGGTTTCGGATTCGGGGCTGGGGGTTTGGGGGTGGGGTGGGTTTGGGGTTGATTTGGGGGTTGGTTTCGGATTCGGGGTTGGGGTTTGGGGTGGGGTGGGGTGGGTTAGGGTTGATTTGGGAGGTTGGTTTCGGATTCGGGGCTGGGGGTTTGGGGGGGTGGGGGTGGGTTTGGGGTTGATTTGGGGGTTGGTTTCGATTCGGGGCTGGGGGTTTGAGGTGAGGTGGGAGTGGGTTTGGGGTTGATTTGGGGGGTTGGTTTGATTCGGGGCTGGGGTTTGGGGGGTGGGGTGGGTTTGGGTTGATTTGGGGTTGGTTTCGATTCGGGGCTGGGGGTTTGGGTGAGTGGGGGTGGTTTGGGGTTGATTTGGGATTTGGGAGCGGTTTGGGGGTTGGTTCGGATTCGGGGCTGGGGGTTTGGGGTGGGTGAGGGGTTTGGGGTTGATTTGGATTGTGGGGATGGTTTGGGGGTGGTTTGGGGGTTGGGATGTGGGGGGTTGAGGATTCAGGGGTGGGTTTGGGGGTTTTGGGGAGGCTTGGGGTTGATTTTGGGATTTGGGGTTGGCTGAGGGAGGTTTGGGGTTGGTTTGGGGTTTGGGGATAGGATTTGGGGTTTTGGGATTGCAGGGGAGTGGGAGAGAGGGTTTAGGGTTGGTTTGGGGTTTGGGGATAGGATTTGGGGTTTTGGGATTGAGGGGGTGGGAGGGAGGGTTTGGGGTTGGCTTGGGGTTTGGGGATAGGATTTGGGGTTTTGGATTGGGGGGTGGGAGGAGAGGGTTTGGGGTTTGGGGATAGGATTTGGGGTTTTGGGATTGGGGGTGGGAGGAGAGGGTTTGGGGTTGGTTTGGGGTTTGGGGGGGGGGTGGGAGGAGCAGGAATAAGGGGATTGAAGTAGAAAAGAATGGGATGCGGTGAGGGAGGATAAAGGGATGGGGAGAAGGAAAAATAAAAGGGATAGAGGTGGGGAAAAAAACAGGATGGGGAAGGAATAAAAACCGGGATTGGAAGGGGGAAATGAAAAGGGTAGAGGTGGGGAAAAAATGGGATGGAGAGAGGGGAAAAAACTGGGATGGGAAGGTGGGAAAAACTGAGATAAGGTGGTGGGAAAACCTGGATGAGGAAGGCGAAATAAAAGGAATCGGGATTGGGAAATGAGAGGGATGGAAAAAGAGGGATGGAAAAAGAGGGGGAAGGGGGAATGAGAAGGATGGAAAAGAGAGGGACGAGGGGAGAGGGAAGATGGAGGAGCCGGAGGAACTGGAGGGATTTGGGGTGGAGAAAATCCGGTGGGAAAGGAATCGGGAATTCAGAGGGAGAGAGGGGAAAAACAGGGATGGGGGAGGAAAGGATGGAGGGGAGGGAGGAGGAGGAGCCAGGAGGGGGAGGGGAAGAGGGGAGAGGAAGGAGGAGGGAGGGGGTGGAGTCAGGAAGGAGGGGAGGGAGGAGGGAGAGAGGGAGGGAGGGAAGGAAGGAGAAAGGGAGAGGAAGGGAGAGGGAGGAGGAGGAGGGGTTGGGGAGGGGTCTCTGGGTGTCTCCACCCCCTCAGGGAAGAGTTTTGGTGGTCCCAGAGGGGAATAAAGGGGGAGGGGGCTCAGTGTGGGGAAGGGTCAGACTCACCTGAGGGGAGCGACGAACTGGGGGAGGGGGAATAAACTGAGTCACAAAGGGTCCCCCCCAAAATCACACAGAGAGAGCCCCCAACACCACAGGGAGCCACCAAATCAAAAGGGATCCCCCAAATCACAGGGACCCCCACCTCCCCACCTCCACGGACCACCCAAAACCACAGGGACCCCTGGGTGGGAGCTGAAATCCCACCCTGGGTACATCCCCCACCGGACCCCCAGGAACCCAAACCCCACCCCAGAGACTCTCCAAGCCCTCAGAGACCCCCGGACCCCCAGGAACCCAAACCCCACCCCAGAGACCCTCCAAGCCCTCAGAGACCCTGGGACCCCAGAACCCAAACCCCACCCCAGAGACCCTCCAACCCCTCAGAGACCCCAGGACCCCCATTAACCCAAACCTCAGCCCCAGAGACCCTCCAACCCCTCAGAGACCCCTGGGACCCCCAGGAACCCAAACCCCACCCCAGAGACCCTCCAACCCCTCAGAGACCCCTGGGACCCCCAGGAACCCAAACCCCACCCCAGAGACCCTCCAACCCCTCAGAGACCCCAGGACCCCCAGGAACCCAAACCCCACCCCAGAGACCCTGGGACCCCCAGGAACCCAAACCCCAACCCCTCAGAGACCCTGGGATCCCCCAAGGAACCCAAACCCCACCCCAGAGACCCTCCAACCCCTCAGAGACCCCTGGGACCCCCTCAGAGACCCCGGGACACCCCCATTAACCCAAACCCCAGCCCCAATAGACCCTCCAACCCTCAGAGACCCCTGGGACCCCCAGGAACCCAAACCCCACCCCAGAGACCCTCCAACCCCTCAGAGACCCTCCAACCCCTCAGAGACCCTCCAACCCCAGAGACCCTCCTACCCCTCAGAGACCCTCAACCCAGAGACCCTCCTACCCTCAGAGACCCCGGGACCCCCCAGGAACCCAAACCCCAGCCCCTCAGCAGACCCCAGGACCCCCAGGAACCCAAACCCCACCCCAGAGACCCTCCAACCCCCAGGAACCCAAACCCCAACCCCTCAGAGACCCCTGGACCCCCAGGAACCCAAACCCCAGCCCCAGAGACCCTCCAACCCCCAGGAACCCAAACCCCACCCCAGAGACCCCCAGGAACCCAAACCCCAACCCTCAGAGACCCCAGGACCCCCAGGAACCCAAACCCCAACCCCTCAGGGACCCCCAGGAACCCAAACCCCCACCCACATCCCAGTACCTCCCCAGCTCCTCCTGGCTGCCCCAGGAACCCAAACCCCACCTCAGAGACCCTCCAAGCCCTGGGACCCCCAGGAACCCAAACCCCCACCCCACATCCCTGTACCTCCCCAGCTCCTCCTGGCTGCCCCAGGAACCCAAACCCCACCCCAGAGACCCTCAAGCCCTGGGACCCCCCAGGAACCCAAACCCCCACCCACATCCCTGTACCTCCCCAGCTCCTCCCTGCCTGCCCCCAGGAACCCAAACCCCACCCCAGAGACCCTCCAAGCCCTGGGACCCCCAGGAACCCAAACCCCCACATCCCTGTACCTCCCCCAGCTCCTCCCTGGCTGCCCCCAGGAACCCAAACCCCACCCCAGAGACCCTCCAGCCCTGGGACCCCCCAGGAACCCAAACCCCAACCCCTCAGAGACCCCCAGGAACCCAAACCCCAGCCCAGAGACCCTCCAACCCCAGGAACCCAAACCCCACCCCAGAGACCCCCAGGAACCCAAACCCCACCCAGAGACTCCCAGGACCCCCCAGGAACCCAAACCCCACCCCAGAGACCCCCAGGAACCCAAACCCCACCCCAGAGACTCCCAGGACCCCCCCAGGAACCCAAACCCCACCCCAGAGACCTCCCAGGAACCCAAACCCCACCCCAGAGACCCCAGGAACCCAAACCCCAACCCCAGAGACCCTCCAACCCCCAGGAACCCAAACCCCACCCCAGAGACCCTCCAACCCCTCAGAGACCCCAGGACCCCCAGGAACCCAAACCCCACCCCAGAGACCCTCCAAGCCCTCAGAGACTCCCGGACCCCCAGGAACCCAAACCCCACCCAGAGACCCCCAGGAACCCAAACCCTCCACCCCACATCCCTGTACCTCCCCCCCCAGCTCCTCCCTGCCTGCCCCCTGTCTCCTCACGCTCGCAGACGGGTTTGGGGTGGCTCCAGCGGCCCAGCTTGGTGCAGTTGCTGCGGGCGCTGCCCACCAGGCGGAAGCCGGGCTCACAGCTGTACTCGGCCCACGTGCCCTCCACCGGCACCCGCTCCAGCCCCCGCGGCACCACCCGCCCGTTCTCCAGGCTCAGGTGCGTCCTGGGGCACGTCCGCACTGCGAGGGGTGGGATGGGACAACCGTGGGTCAGGGGGAGGGGGGAAGAAGTGGTTGAGGGGGTGGTCGAGGGGGTGGTCGAGGGGGTGGTCATGGTGATGCTCATCCCCAGGGTGATGTTGGTCAAGGTCTTGGGGATGGTGGTGGGGGTCAAGGGGTTGGTTGGGTAAGATGATGGTGATGGTCAAGGGGGTGGTCATGGTGATGGTCATGGTGATGGTCAAGGGGGTGGTCAAGGGGATGGTCAAGGGGGTGGTCAAGGGGGTGGTCAAGGGGGTGGTCATAGTGATGGTGGTCAAAGTGTTGGTCATCGGCAATATGATGGTGATGGTCAAGGGGATGGTCAAGGTGATGGTCAAGGGGGTGGTCAAGGGGGTGGTCAAGGGGGTGGTCATGGTGATGGTCATGGTGATGGTCATGGTGATGGTCAAGGGGGTGGTCATGGTGATGGTCATGGTGGTGGTCAAGGGGGTGGTCATGGTGATGGTCATGGTGATGCTCATCCCCAGGGTGATGTTGGTCAAGGTCTTGGGAATGGGGATGGTGGTCAAGGTGATGGTGGTCAATGGAGTGATGGTCATGGTGATGGTCAAGGGATGGTCAAGGTGGTCAAGGGGTGGTCATGGTGATGGTCAAGTGGTGGTCAAGGTGTGGTCATGGGGATGGTGGTCAAAGTGGTGATGGGTCATGGTGATGGTCATGGTGATGGTCATGGTGATGGTCAAGGGGTGGTCAAGGTGGTGGTCATGGTGAGTGATGGTCATGGTGATGGTCATGGTGATGGTCAAGGGGGTGGTCAAGGGGGTGGTCATAGTGATGGTGGTCAAAGTGTTGGTCATGGGCAAGATGATGGTGATGGTCATGGTGATGGTCAAGGTGGTGGTCATGGTGATGGTCAAGGGGGTGGTCATGGTGATGGTCAAGGGGGTGGTCATAGGTGGATGGTCAATGGTGGTAGGTCAAGTGGTGGATGGTCAAGGTGGTGGTCATGGTGATGGTCAAGGGGATGGTCAAGGTGGTGGTCATGGTGATGGTCAAGGTGATGGTCAAGGGGTGGTCATGGTGATGGTCAAGGTGGTGGTCAATGGTGATGGTCAAGGGGATGGTCATGGGGTGGTCAAGGTGGTGGTCATGGTGATGGTCAAGGGGTGGTCAAGGTGATGGTCAAGGTGATGGTCATGGTGATGGTCAAGGGTGATGGTCAAGGTGATGGTCAAGGGTGGTGATGGTGGTCAAGGTGATGGTCAAGGGGATGGTCAAGGAGATGGTCATAGTGATGGTGGTCAGTGTTGGTCATGGGCAAGATGATGGTGATGGTCAAGGGGGTGGTCATGGTGATGGTCAAGGGGATGGTCAAGGGGGTGGTCATGGTGATGGTCATGGTGATGGTCAAGGGGTGGTCAATGGTGATGGTCATGGTGATGGTCAAGGGGATGGTCAAGGGGGTGGTCAAGGTGATGGTCAAGGTGGTGGTCATGGTGGTGGTCATGGTGATGGTGGTCAAGGTGATGGTCAAGGGGGTGGTCAAGGGGGTGGTCAAGGTGAGTGGTCAAGGTGGTGGTCATGGTGATGGTCAAGGGGGTGGTCAAGGGGGTGGTCATGGTGATGGTGGTCAAGGTGATGGTCATGGGATGGTGGTGATGGTGGTGGTCAAGGGGATGGTCAAGGTGATGGTCATGGTGATGGTCAAGGGATGGTCAAGGTGGTGGTCAAGGGGTGGTCAGTAGTGATGGTGGTCAAAGTGTTGGTCAGTGGGCAACATGATGGTGATGGTCAAGGGGGTGGTCAAGGGGGTGGTCAAGGGGGTGGTCATGGTGATGGTCATGGTGATGGTCAAGGGGGTGGTCAAGGGGGTGGTCATGGTGGTGGTCAAGGGGGTGGTCAAGGGGGTGGTCATGGTGATGGTGGTCAAAGTGTTGGTCATGGGCAAGATGATGACGATGATGGTCGAGGTGATGTCGGTCAAGGTCTTGGGAATGGGGATGGGGATGGTGGTCAAGGTGATGGTTGGGCGACACGATGGTGATGGTCATGGTGATGGTCAAGGGGGTGGTCATGGTGATGGTGGTCAAAGTGTTGGTCGTGGACAAGATGATGGTGATGGTCATGGTGATGGTCAAGGGGGTGGTCATAGTGATGGTGGTCAAAGTGTTGGTCGTGGGCAACATGATGGTGATGGTCATGGTGATGGTCAAGGGGGTGGTCATGGTGATGGTCATGGTGATGGTCAAGGGGGTGGTCATAGTGATGGTGGTCAAAGTGTTGGTCGTGGGCAAGATGATGACGATGATGGTCGAGGTGACGTCGGTCAAGGTCTTGGGGATGGGGATGGGGATGGTGGTCAAGGTGACGGTTGGGCGACATGATGGTGATGGTCATGGTGATGGTCAAGGGGATGGTCATGGTGATGGTCATGGTGATGGTCATGGTGATGGTCATGGTGATGGTCATGGTGATGGTCAAGGGGGTGGTCAAGGGGTGGTCATAGTGATGGTGGTCAAAGTGTTGGTCGTGGGCAAGATGATGGTGATGGTCCAGGTGATGTCGGTCAAGGTCTTGGGGATGGGGATGGTGGTCAAGGTGACGGTTGGGCAACGTGATGGTGATGGTCAAGGGGATGGTCAAGGGGGTGGTCATGGTGATGGTCATGGTGATGGTCAACGGGGTGGTCAAGGGGGTGGTCATGGTGATGGTCAAGGGGGTGGTCAAGGGGGTGGTCATGGTGATGGTCAACGGGGTGGTCAAGGTGATGGTCATAGTGATGGTGGTCAAAGTGTTGGTCGTGGGCAAGATGATGATGATGGTCCAGGTGATGTCGGTCAAGGTCTTGGGGATGGGGATGGGGATGGTGGTCAAGGAGACGGTTGGGTGACACGATGGTGATGGTCATGGTGATGGTCAAGTGGGTGGTCATGGTGATGGTGGTCAAAGTGTTGGTCGTGGGCAAGATGATGATGATGATGGTCCAGGTGATGTCGGTCAAGGTCTTGGGGATGTGACGAAGGGCAAGGGAAGATCTTCACGACGGGTAAGGCGTCATCGACAGGACAAAGCCGGCGACAGGGACAGAGCCACTGACAGGGCTGAGATGGGAGGGTGACAGCGACACGAAGGGTGGCAGCGACGGCACAGGGACTTTAACAGGGGTGATGACAGCGACAGGATGGGGCTGTTGACAGGACAGGGACACCAACGCCGCGCCAGCTCGGTGCCACAGCCCGAGCGGTGCCGGCGACACTCACGGCAGCGGCTGGGGTGCGCCATGGCGGTCCAGGTGCCGTCGCGCTGGCACTTGCGCACCTTGGGCCCCACGATCTCGCGGTCGGGCCGGCACACGTACTCGATCTCGTAGTCGAAGGGCAGGAACCGCACGCTCTGCACCTCCTCGGGGGTCAGGCCCCGGTAGCGGATCCCTCCGTCCCGCGGCGGGTGGATGATCTGGCAGCCTGGGCGTGGTGGGGGGGACCCATAGGGTTGGGGGGGTCCCATAGGGTTGGGGAATCCCATAGGTTTGGGATGATCCCATAAGGTTGGGGGGTTCCATAGGGTTGGGGGGTCCTATAGGGTCGGGGGGTCCCATAGGGTTGGAAGGTTCCATAGGGTTGGTGGGTTCCATAGGGTTGGGATGATCCCATAAGGTTGGTGGGTTCCATAGGGTTGGTGGGTTCCATAGGGTTGGGGGGGTTCTATAGGGTTGGGGGGTTCCATAGGGTTGGAAGGTTCCGTAGGGTTGGGGGGTTCCATAGGGTTGGAAGGTTCCATAGGGTTGGAAGGTCCCATAGGGTTGGGGGTTTCCACAGGGTTGGGAGTTTCCACAGGGTTGGGGGGTTCCATAGGGTTGGGGAGTTCCATAGGGTTGGAAGGTCCCATAGGGTTGGGGGGTTCTATAGGGTTGGAAGGTCTCATAGGGTTGGAAGGTCTCATAGGGTTGGGAGGTTCCATAGGGTTGGGGGGTTCCATAGGGTTGGGGGGTTCCATAGGGTTGGTGGGTTCCATAGGGTTGGGGAATCCCATAGGGTTGGAAGGTCCCATAGGGTTGGGGAATCCCATAGGTTTGGGATGATCCCATAAGGTTGGTGGGTTCCATAGGGTTGGAAGGTCCCATAGGGTTGGTGGGTTCCATAGGGTTGGGGAATCCCACAGGGTTGGGGGGTTCCATAGGGTTGGGGTTTCCACAGGGTTGGGGAATCCCATAGGTTTGGGATGATCCCATAAGGTTGGTGGGTTCCATAGGGTTGGGGGGTTCTACAGGGTTGGGGGGTTCCATAGGGTTGGGGGGGTTCCATAGGGTCGGGGGGTTCCATAGGGTTGGAAGGTCCCATAGTGTTGGAAGGTTCCATAGGGTTGGGGGGTTCCATAGGGTTGGGATGATCCCATAAGGTTGGGGGGTTCCATAGGGTTGGGGGGTTCCATAGGGTTGGGTATCCCATAGATTTGGGAGGTCCCTTAGAACTGGGAGAGGATCCCATAGGGTTGGGGGGTTCCATAGGGTTGGGGGGTTCCATAGGGTTGGGGGGTCCCATAGGGTTGGGAGGTTCCATAGGGTCGGGGGGGTTCCATAGGGTTGGGATGATCCCATAAGGTTGGGGGGTTCCATAGGGTTGGAAGGTTCCATAGGGTTGGAGGGTTCTATAGATTTGGGATGATCCCATAAGGTTGGTGGGTTCCATAGGGTTGGGTATCCCATAGATTTGGGAGGTCCCTTAGAACTGGGGGAGGATCCCATAGGGTTCGGGGGGTTCCATAGGGTTGGAAGGTTCCATAGGTTTGGGATGATTCCATAAGGTTGGTGGGTTCCATAGGGTTGGAAGGTCCCATAGGGTTGGAAGGTTCCATAGGGTTGGGGGGTTCCATAGGGTTGGGGGGTTCCATAGGGTTGGGGGTTCTATAGGGTTGGGGGGTCCCATAGGGTTGGGGGGTTCCACAGGGTTGGGGAATCCCATAAGGTTGGTGGGTTCCAGAGGGTTGGAAGGTCCCATAGGGTTGGAGGGTTCCATAGGGTTGGAAGGTCCCATAGGGTCGGGAGGTTCCATAGGGTTTGGGTATCCCATAGATTTGGGAGGTCCCTTAGAACTGGGGGGATGATCCCCTAGGGTTGGGGGGATTATAGGGAGGTCCCGGGGGTCTTGGGGGGGGTCTCCCACCTTCGGTGAGGTTGGTGTGGACGGTGCCACGGGCGGGGGCCACGCTCAGCACCAGGAGCAGCAGCAGCATCTGCAGGGGAGAGACCCCAGTATGGCCCAGTCCCTAGAGGGGACACCCCCAGTCCCTGTAGGGGACACTCCACAGTCCCAAAAAAAGGGTGGGGTCAGCGCCTCTCCATCCCCTCCCCAAATTTTCCCACCCTCCCCCCTTTCCCGCCTCCCCTTCCTCCCTGAGTGTTTTTCCCTGAAAAGGGAGATCCCCCAAAACTAAGGGGAGACTCCCCAAAATAAAGGGGGGACCCTCCAAAACAACAGGAGAGCCCCCCCAAAAATGGGGAGAACACCCAGAATTAAGGGACACCCCCTAAATTAGGAAGCCCCTCCAAAATAAAGGGAGACCCACTAAATTAAGGGAGAACCCCGAAATAAGAGGACACCCCAAAATAAAGGAAAGCCCCCCCAGAAGAGGGAGACCCCCCCATAATGTGTCCCACTCTCCCCAAAATAAGGGGGACCCCCCAAAAACCAGGAGAGACCCCCAAAATAAAGAGAAGATCACCCAAAACAAGAGGAGACCCCCCCCCAAAAAAAAGGGAGACCCCAAAATTTTGGAAGGGGGAGGGGATGTTTCTACCTTGGCCTGAGATTCCCGGTGCGGGGAGGGGAGATCCCAAATTTAGGGGGTGGGGAGGGGTCGTGATCGCCGCAGGGGGCCCCAGTGACAGGGGAGGGCAAATTTGGGGCGGGGGTCCCACGAAGCCCTCCTGGAGCCGGGGGTGGGGAGGGGAGATGGAGCCGAAGATGCCCGGGTGGAGGATGGGAATGAGAATTGGGGGAGGGGCGAGAAGCGGGGAGGGCTGGCGGAGGGGGGAATTGGGGGAGGTCGCGGAGTGGTTTTTGGGGAGTGGGGTGCGTCGTGGGGGCGGTGCGGAGACCCCGGGATGGGCGGCGGGACCGGGAACAGCCGCGGAGGGGCCTCAGGTGGGTGGGGGAGGGAGGAAGGTGGGAGGGAGGGGAGGGGAGAGGAGGGGCCGGAGCCGCCTCGGGGAGGGAGGAGGGGCGGGAAGGGGAGAGGGAGAGGGAGAGGGATGTGGAGATTTGGGGGGAGGGGAGGAGAGAGGGAGGAGAGAGAGAGGGAGTGAGGGGGAGGGGGAGGGAGGGGCTGGAGCCACCTCGGGGGAGGGGAAGGGCGAGAAGAGGGAGAGGGATGTGGGGGATTTAGGGGGAGGGAGGGGAGGAGAGAGGGAGGGAGGAAGAAGGGGAGAGGGATTTGGGGCTTGAGGGGGATTTGGGGAGAGGAGGGCAGAGAGAGGGCAGGTCACGTGTCACGTGGGAGTGACCGTGGGGAGGGAGACCCCAGAGCTCTTCTTCCTCTTCCCTCCCCCTTCCTCCCTCTCCCCACCCCCTGTTTCCTCCTCCCTCTGCCATATCGTCCTCTTCCCAACCCTCTCCCTCCCTCCTCTTCTCCCTCTCCCTTTCTATCCCTCTCCCTTCTCCTTCTTTCCCTCCCTCCCTCCCTCTCCCCTCTCCTCCCTCCTGCTTCTCCTTTTCCTCCCTCTCCTCCCCATCTCTTCCCTTCCTCTCCCCTTCTTTCCCTCTCGCCTCTCCCACCTCTTCCTCCCTCCCTCCCTCTCTCTCCCTCCCTCTCCCTCTCCCTCCCTTCTTTGTAAACACCGAAATCAGGTCACGAAGCCTCCTCAGGGAAAGGGAGGAAGATCCTGAATTCCCACATTTCCTGGAGATCCCCCCACCCCCAAATCCCGCATTCCATGGAACTCCCACCCCTCAAATCCAGGAATTCCCCACGTCCTGAATCCCAGAATTTCCAAGGACGATCCCATCCAGTGTCACCCCCCACAGTGGATCCACTTGGGAACCTTGGAGGGTCATTCCATCATTTCCCAGGAACCCGTGGAATTGTCGCTGATTTATACCAGGAACTGGGGGGATTTGGGTCCAATTTGGAGTGGATTTTTTTTCCCCTTTTGGGACTTTTTTTTAAGGCAGGTTTTAATTAAAATCGTTATTTGAAAAAAAAAAAAAAAAAAGAGAAAGAAATGAAATTTGGAAAAGGGACTTCGATGAAAAATCAAGGAAGTAAAGAGGATTTTAAAATAGTGAAACAAAAAAAAAGGAAATTAAAAATAATAAAATCATAAAGCAAAAAGGAAAAATGAAAAATATTAAAGCAGAGTAATAAAATGGTAAAAGTCCAATAAAATAATAAAATAGAAGTAACAAAAAAAAAAAGGGCTGTAACATAAATGATGAAATGAAAATGATGAAATAAGGGTAAAAGAGAAAAACAACAAGTATCAGCTAAGTTATAAAATAGAAAAAAACAAGCATAAAATAGAAAAATAACAAGACATAAAGTATTAAAAAAATAATAAAATAGCGGTAAAATACTTTTAAACCACCAAAACAATAAAATAATAACAGAGGTAAAATAAAAACACAAAATCCACTGGGGGGGGTAAAAAATGCCCCTCAAAATGCCCCCGACCTCAAATTTTTTGGGGGTTTAAGCTCCCCTTAAATCTTCCCTGGGGTTCAACCCTGGGCCATCTTGGGCCGTAACGCAAGATGGCGGCGCCCACGTATCCCCACGGAGTGCAATTTTTTAGGGATAACTCTTGGAGAATCGGGGTCAAAAGAGGAGAAAAATCTTTTTTTTTGTGTTGTTTTTTCATCGTCAATCCCTTCATACCAGTTTGAGCTTACCGGAGACCCGGAGAGAGCGGCAGAGAAGGCCACGGGTGGATGAGTCCTGGGGGCCACCATGTTGTACGGCGGGAGGAACCATGAGAGCACTTCCGCTTCCTGTAGAGAAGCGGGGGTTAAACAAGGACTTGAGGGAGAAAAAAGGAGATTTTAGGAGAGTTTGAGGACCTCGGAGGGGGTGTCTTTGTCCTCCTTTATTTTTGTAGACTTTGCATCAAACCTTCCCGGGGATTTCGTTTGCCTCCCGGCGGTTCAGCGCCGGCGCCGCCATCTTGAGGCGCGGCGGCGCGGCAACACAAGATGGCAGCTCCCTCATAACCCACCCCAGCGTTATTTTTGGGGATAATTCGAGGAGAATCGGGGTCAAACGGGGCGCGGCGGTTTCTCCTTTACAGGCTACCCCCGCGCGTCCGGCTTGAGCCCAGTGGGAACCGGGAGAGCGGCGGAGAGGGCGGTGGGTGAACGAGCACCGGGGGCCGCCATGTTGTACGGCAAGAGGAGCCATGGCGGCACTTCCGCTTCCGCTGGGGGAGCGGCGCGGGAGCGGTGGCGGAGCGCGGGGTAAACACAGGCCGGGGGGCTTGGAGGGTTTTTGGGGGGTTTTGGGGGTTTTGGGGTCCTGAGGGTGGGGAGGAATGGGATATAGGGGGCTGAAGGAGGACAGGGCGGTGGGGGCGAATAGGGGCAGTTTTGAGGAGGGGGCATTGGAGGGCTTGGGGATTTAGGGGTCAGGGGAGATTTTGGGGATTGGGGGTCTTGGGGGATTTAGTGGGGTCTGGGGATTTGGGGGGTCTTAGGAGTATTTTGAGAGCTCTTTGGTGGGTTGGGGGACTTGAGGGGTTCTGGAGAAAATGGGAGGGGGATTTGGGGGGTCTGGGGGCTCTTTAAAATTTGGGGTCGATTTTTGGGGTCCCTGGACTGTTCCAAGTCACGATTTTGAGAGGGTATCTTTGACCTGTCACCCCTTTTTATTTTTTTTCCAGCTCCTCCTCCCAGTTGGGACTCTCCGACTCGCGACACCCCTCGTGGGGAGGGGGTTAGGGTCTCCAAACCCCCAAACCCCCTGAACCTTCCAAAAATGAAATAATCCCCTCCCCGCGAAAAAAACAAGCCCTTGAATGGCACCCCTCCCTCCCCTCCCCACCAGGGCAGAGACCACCCCAAATTTGGGGAGAGGACCCTGAAATGGGGGACTCGCAGCAGGGGCTGATTTGGGGGGCACCAACGGGATGGAGGGGGAGTTGGGGGTGAAGACCCTGGAACCCCCAAAAAGAGGTTTCAGAAGAGGAGGAGGAGGAGGAGGAAGAAGAACTGGACCCCGGATCCAGGTGGGATTTCGGTGGGGTGGGGGAATCCTGGTTTTGGGGTCCTGGATGGGTTTAGGGGGTCCCACAGGGCTTTGAGGGGTTTTCTGGGGGTCACAGGGGGTTTTGGGGGTCTTGAGGGCTTTGGGGGGCATCCTGGGCAGGTTTGGGTGGGGGGGGGGGTGTCCTGTTTCCCTCACCCCAATTTTGGGGGTCTAGGGGTCTCCCCCCCAATTTTGGGGTCTCCCTCCCAGGAGGAGCTCGAGCATCTGAACGAGGCCAACGCCGACATTAACCGGGGGGAGCTGGAGCTGGATGTGAGTCAAACTGGGAGCGCTGGGAACCCGAACTGGGAAACGCTGGGAGCACCGGCTGGGACACCAGGAACAGGCCCGGGATTCCAAGTCGTGAATTGGTGCCCTCCCCAGAACGTGTCCCCAGTCCCAAACTGGACACCAGTCCATGTTCCCAATCCCAAGCTGGTTCCCCACTCCCGAACTGGGATCCCCATTCCCAAATGGGCCTCAATCCTTGTTTTTCCAGTCCCAAAACGGCATGCCCAGCCCCTTAACTGGTCTTCCCAATCCCAAGCCGATCCCAAAACACTCCCACCCAACCCCTACCCAGTGTCCCTGTCCCAAACCAGTGCCCCCCAGTCCGTAACTGGTGCCGTTCTCGCCCCGTTTCAGGCCGCCCGCTCCGCCTATCGCCGCATCCTGTCGGAATCCGCCCGGAAACTGAATTCCCAAGGCTCCCAACTCGGGAATTGCATCGAGAGGGCCCGGCCCTACTACGAGGCCCGACGGAGAGCCAAGGAGGTACCGGGAAAATCCTGAAAAAAGGAGAATTCCGGGTCCTTGTTGTTTCCCCCCTGGTGTCCCATCCCCAGAGCTCAACTCCCAGTGCTCCCAGTTGGGAATGACTGGGCCAAGAAGGGTACCAGATCCTGGGAAAACCTTGGGAAAGGGACTCAGGTTGGGAATTCCAGCTTCCCAATCCTTGTTTCCCATCTATCTGTTTGTGTCCCAGTCCCTGAGCTCAACTCCCGGTGCTCCCAGTTGGGAATGACTGGGCCAAGAAGGGTACCAGATCCTGGGAAAACCTTGGGAAAGGGATTCAGGTCGGGAATTCCGGGTTCCCAATCCTCGTCTTCACCTCCATCTCCCATCCTGAGCTCAACTCCCGGTGCTCCCAGTTGGGAATCACTGGGCCAAGAAGGGTACCAGATCCTGGGAAAACCTTGGGAAAGGGACTCAGGTTGGGAATTCCAGCTTCCCAATCCTTGTTTCCCATCTATTTGTTGGTGTCCCAGTCCGGGTCCCCCCAATCTTCACCCCCATCCCCAGAGCTCAACTCCCAGTGCTCCCAGTTGGGAATGACTGGGCCGAGAAGGTACCAGATCCTGGGAAAACCTTGGGAAAGGGACTCAGGTTGGGAATTCCAGCTTCCCAATCCTTGTTTCGCATCTATCTGTTTGTGTCCCAGTCCCTGAGCTCAACTCCCAGTGCTCCCAGTTGGGAATGACTGGGCCAAGAAGGTACCAGATCCTGGGAAAACCTTGGGAAAGGGACTCAGGTCGGGAATTCCGGGTTCCCAATCCTTGTTTCGCATCCATCTGTTTGTGTCCCAGTCCGGGTCCCCCAAATCTTCACCCCCATCCCCATCGCCCAACTCCCGGTGCTCCCAGTTGGGAATGACTGGGCCAAGAAGGGTACCAGATCCTGGGAAAACCTTGGGAAAGGGACTCACTCGGGTTGGGAATTCCAGCTTCCCAATCCTTGTTTCCCATCTATTTGTTGGTGTCCCATCCCCAGAGCTCAACTCCCAGTGCTCCCAGTTGGGAATGACTGGGCCAAGAAGGGTACCAGATCCTGGGAAAACCTTGGGAAAGGGACTCAGGTCGGGAATTCCGGGTTCCCCCCCCCCAGTCTTCATCCCCATCCCCAGAGCTCAGCTCCCAGTGCTCCCAGTTGGGAATGACTGGGCCAAGAAGGGTACCAGATCCTGGGAAAACCTTGGGAAAGGGACTCACTCGGGTTGGGAATTCCAGCTTCCCAATCCTTGTTTCGCATCCATCTGTTTGTGTCCCAGTCCCTGGAAAACACCGGTCGGGAATTCCGGGTTCCCAATCTTCACCCCCATCCCCAGAGCTCAACTCCCTGTGCTCCCAGTTGGGAATCACTGGGCCAAGAAGGGTACCAGATCCTGGGAAAACCTTGGGAAAGGGATTCAGGTTGGGAATTCCAGCTTCCCAATCCTTGTTTTGCATCCATCTGTTTGTGTCCCAGTCCCTGAGCTCAACTCCCAGTGCTCCCAGTTGGGAATGACTGGGCCAAGAAGGGTACCAGATCCTGGGAAAACCTTGGGAAAGGGATTCAGGTTGGGAATTCCAGCTTCCCAATCCTTGTTTCCCATCTATTTGTTGGTGTCCCAGTCCCTGAGCTCAACTCCCAGTGCTCCCAGTTGGGAACCACTGGGCCAAGAAGCTACCAGATCCTGGGAAAACCTTGGGAAAGGGACTCAGGTCGGGAATTCTGGGTTCCCCCAATCTTCATCCCCATCCCCAGAGCTCAACTCCCAGTGCTCCCAGTTGGGAATCACTGGGCCAAGAAGGTACCAGATCCTGGGAAAACCTTGGGAAAGGGACTCAGGTTGGGAATTCCGGCTTCCCAATCCTTGTTTCGCATCCATCTGTTTGTGTCCCAGTCCAGGTCCCCAATCTTCATCCCCATCCCCAGGCTCAACTCCCAGTGCTCCCAGTTGGGAATCACTGGGCCAAGAAGGGTACCAGATCCTGGGAAAACCTTGGGAAAGGGACTCAGGTTGGGAATTCCAGCTTCCCAATCCTTGTTTCGCATCCATCTGTTTGTGTCCCAGTCCGGGTCCCCCCAATCTTCACCCCCATCCCCAGAGCTCAACTCCCAGTGCTCCCAGTTAGGAATGACTGGGCCAAGAAGGTACCAGATCCTGGGAAGACAGGGAAGGGACCTTGGGAAAGGGACTCAGGTCAGGAATTCGGGGTCCCCCCAATCTTCACCCCCATCCCCAGAGCTCAACTCCCAGTGCTCCCAGTTGGGAACCACTGGGCCAAGAAGGGTACCAGATCCTGGGAAAACCTTGGGAAAGGGACTCAGGTTGGGAATTCCGGGTTCCCAATCCTTGTTTCGCATCAATCTGTTTGTGTCCCAGTCCCTGAGCTCAACTCCCAGTGCTCCCAGTTGGGAATCACTGGGCCAAGAAGGTACCAGATCCTGGGAAAACCTTGGGAAAGGGACTCAGGTCGGGAATTCCGGGTTCCACCCATCCCCATCCCCATCGCCCAACTCCCAGTGCTCCCAGTTGGGAATGACTGGGCCAAGAAGGTACCAGATCCTGGGAAAACCTTGGGAAAGGGACTCGGGTTGGGAATTCCAGCTTCCCAATCCTTGTTTCGCATCTATTTGTTGGTGTCCCATTCCCTGAGCTCAACTCCCAGTGCTCCCAGTTGGGAATCACTGGGCCAAGAAGGGTACCAGATCCTGGGAAAACCTTGGGAAAGGGACTCAGGTCGGGAATTCCGGGTTCCCCCCCATCCCCAGAGCTCAACTCCCAGTGCTCCCAGTTGGGAATCACTGGGCCAAGAAGGTACCAGATCCTGGGAAAACCTTGGGAAAGGGACTCAGGTTGGGAATTCCAGCTTCCCAATCCTTGTTTCCCATCCATCTGTTTGTGTCCCAGTCCCTGGAAAACACCAGTTGGGAATTCCAGGTCCCCCCCATCTTCATCCCCAGAGCCCAACTCCCAGTGCTCCCAGTTGGGAATGACTGGGCCAAGAAGGGTACCAGATCCTGGGAAAACCTTGGGAAAGGGACTCAGGTCGGGAATTCCGGGTTCCCTCCCCTCAGTCTTCATCCCCATCCCCATCCCCAGAGCTCAACTCCCAGTGCTCCCAGTTGGGAATGACTGGGCCAAGAAGGGTACCAGATCCTGGGAAAACCTTGGGAAAGGGACTCAGGTTGGGAATTCCAACTTCCCAATCCTTGTTTCGCATCTATTTGTTGGTGTCCCATTCCCTGAGCTCAACTCCCAGTGCTCCCAGTTGGGAATCGCTGGGCCAAGAAGGCTACCAGATCCTGGGAAAACCTTGGGAAAGGGACTCAGGTCGGGAATTCCGGGTTCCCCCCCATCCCCAGAGCTCAACTCCCAGTGCTCCCAGTTGGGAATCACTGGGCCAAGAAGGGTACCAGATCCTGGGAAAACCTTGGGAAAGGGACTCAGGTCGGGAATTCCGGGTTCCCCCCCGCCCAATCTTCACCCCCATCCCCAGAGCTCAACTCCCAGTGCTCCCAGTTGGGAATCACTGGGCCAAGAAGGTACCAGATCCTGGGAAAACCTTGGGAAAGGGACTCAGGTCAGGAATTCCGGGTTCCACCCATCCCCATCCCCATCGCCCAACTCCCAGTGCTCCCAGTTGGGAATGACTGGGCCGAGAAGGGTACCAGATCCTGGGAAAACCTTGGGAAAGGGACTCAGGTCGGGAATTCCGGGTTCCCAATCCTTGTTTCCCATCTATCTGTTTGTGTCCCAGTCCCTGAGCTCAACTCCCAGTGCTCCCAGTTGGGAATCACTGGGCCAAGAAGGGTACCAGATCCTGGGAAAATTTTGGGAAAGGGACTCAGGTTGGGAATTCCGGGTTCCCCCAATCTTCATCCCCATCCCCATCCCCAGAGCTCAACTCCCAGTGCTCCCAGTTGGGAATGACTGGGCCAAGAAGGTACCAGATCCTGGGAAAACCTTGGGAAAGGGACTCAGGTTGGGAATTTCAGCTTCCCAATCCTTGTTTCCCATCTATTTGTTGGTGTCCCAGTCCCTGAGCTCAACTCCCAGTGCTCCCAGTTGGGAATCACTGGGCCAAGAAGGCTACCAGATCCTGGGAAAACCTTGGGAAAGGGACTCAGGTTGGGAATTCCGGGTTCCCCCCCATCCCCAGAGCTCAACTCCCAGTGCTCCCAGTTGGGAATGACTGGGCCGAGAAGGGTACCAGATCCTGGGAAAACCTTGGGAAAGGGACTCAGGTCGGGAATTCCGGGTTCCCCCCCGCCCAATCTTCACCCCCATCCCCATCGCTCACCTCCCGGTGCTCCCAGTTGGGAATCACCCCACTCGAGGAGCTTCCCAAATCCTGCAAAAACCCTGGGAAGGAGAAGCAGGGAAGGAGCTCCGGGAGCCAGCATTCCCGCTCTTCCAGGCGCAGCAGGAGACGCAGCGGGCGGCCCTGCGCTACGAGCGGGCGGTGGGGATGCACAACGCGGCGCGGGAGATGGTCTTCGTGGCCGAGCAGGGCGTGGCCGCCGGCAGGAACCGCCTGGATCCCACCTGGCAGGAGATGCTCAACCACGCCACGCGCAAGGTGGGAGAGTCCGGGAGCGGGAGAGTTCGGGATGCGAGGCCCCTTTCCCAAGGAGGGGTCGTTTGTACCCCAAGGGGTCTTTTTTTTTTTGGGGGGGTCGCTGCCTCGTTGGGATAAGCCCCGTTCCCAAAGGGGTGGTTTTGTCCCCCCATTCCCGCTGGGATGTTCTGGCTCCTCCTCATTCCCGGGAATTGCAGGTGAACGAGGCGGAGGAGGAGCGGGTGCGGAGCGAGCGGGAGCACCAGCGGGTGACGCGCCTGTGCCAGGAGGCCGAGGCCGAGGTGCAGGCACTGCAGAAATCCCTGAAGCGCGTCATCCTGCGCAGCAAACCCTACTTCGAGCTCAAGGCCCAGTTCAACCAGATCCTCGAGGTCGCTGGGGGCACTGGGGGGCGCTGGGAGGAGCGGGGAGATACTGGGAGGGACTGGGGGGGCACTGGGAGCTGGGAGAGCGGGGAGATACTGGGAGGGACTGGGGGGGCACTGGGAGCGCTGGGAGGAGGGCACTAGGAGAGCGGGGAGATACTGGGAGGGACTGGGGGTGCACTGGGAGCGCTGGGAGGAGGGCACTAGGAGAGCGGGGAGATACTGGGAGGGACTGGGAGTGCACTGGGAGCGCTGGGAGGAGGGCACTAGGAGAGCGGGGAGATACTGGGAGGGACTGGGGGGCACTGGGAGCGCTGGGAGGAGGGCACTAGGAGAGCGGGGAGATACTGGGAGGGACTGGGGCACTGGGAGCGCTGGGAGGAGGGCACTAGGAGAGCGGGGAGATACTGGGAGGGACTGGGGGTGCACTGGGAGCGCTGGGAGGAGGGCACTAGGAGAGCGGGGAGATACTGGGAGGGACTGGGGGTGCACTGGGAGCGCTGGGAGGAGGGCACTAGGAGAGCGGGGAGATACTGGGAGGGACTGGGGGTGCACTGGGAGCGCTGGGAGGAGGGCACTAGGAGAGCGGGGAGATACTGGGAGGGACTGGGGTGCACTGGGAGCGCTGGGAGGAGGGCACTAGGAGAGCGGGGAGATACTGGGAGGGACTGGGGTGCACTGGGAGCGCTGGGAGGAGGGCACTAGGAGAGCGGGGAGATACTGGGAGGGACTGGGGTGCACTGGGAGCGCTGGGAGGAGGGCACTAGGAGAGCGGGGAGATACTGGGAGGGACTGGGGGTGCACTGGGAGCGCTGGGAGGAGGGCACTAGGAGAGCGGGGAGATACTGGGAGGGACTGGGGGTGCACTGGGAGCGCTGGGAGGAGGGCACTAGGAGAGCGGGGAGATACTGGGAGGGACTGGGGGGGCACTGGGAGCGCTGGGAGAGGGACCGGGAGCTCCAGTTCCGCCAGATCTTGGAATTAGGACCAATATTTTCGGGATCGGAACCCAATTAGAACCAATGTTTTAGGGATCATAGTCTGTGTTTTTAAGGGGATCATAACTGGTTTTTTTAGGGATCATAACCAATTTTCGAAGGTCACAACTGATTTCCAGGGGGTTTCCAAAGAACCCCCAGGCTGCTCCCGCTGAACCCTCCCCCCCCCTTTTCCCTGCTGCCTTTTCCCTTTCCCAGGAGCACAAATCCAAGGTGACCTCCCTGGAAAGCCGCGTCTCCCAGGCCAAGACCCGTTACTCCGTCGCCCTCCGCAACCTGGAGCAGATCAGCGAGCAGATCCACGCCCGGAGGCTCCAGAGGCTCCTCCAGCGCCGGGAATCTCCAGTGGGAGCCGAGTGCAGCCCCCGCCACTCCAGCCTGGAATCCCAAGGGGCGGATTTGGGAGCGGAGTGCCCGGCCGGGGACTCCCTGTCCGTGCTCAGCCTCCAAACGGTCGCCTCCGACCTGCAGAAGTTCGACTCGGTGGAACATTTGGCGGGAATTTCGGATGCCGCCAGCCTGGGAAGCGACGAGCTGGGAGAGCGGGAGCGGCGCCGGAGCCTCCGGCACCACCGGAGCGTCAGCCTCTGAGCCGGAATTCCCAGCGGTTCCCACCCCCCAAAAATACACCAGAAACTCGTCAAAAGGCGCCGAAAATTTCGCAGTTTCTCGGAGCTGTCCAAAATTTCCCCAAGTCCACCGGAATTTGCTCAAAATCCCGCAGGAATCCGCCCCGAGTTCGCCCAAATGCATCTGAAGTCCCGCAAAAATCCAACCCCAAATTTGGCCCGAAAATTCCCGGGAATTCGCCCGAAATTCCACAAAAAATTCCCCCACAAAATTCCACAAAAATCCACCCAAATCTACCCAAAATTTCCCCTACGTTCTGCCCAAATCCACCTAAAATTCCCCCCCAAAATTCCACAAAAATCCACAAAAATCCACCCAAAATTTCCCCTAAATTCTGCCCAAATCCACCTAAAATTCCCCCCCAAAATTCCACAAAAATCTACCTAAAATTTCCCCTAAATTATGCCCAAATCCACCTAAAATTCCCCCCCAAAATTCCACAAAAATCTACCCAAATCTACCCAAAATTTCCCCTACATTCTGCCCAAATCCACCTAAAATTCCCCCCCAAAAATCCACCCAAAATTTCCCCTAAATTCTGCCCAAATCCACCTAAAATTCCCCCCCAAAAATCCACCCAAAATTTCCCCTAAATTCTGCCCAAATCCACCTAAAATTCCCCCCCAAAATTCCACAAAAATCCACCAAAATCTACCCAAAATTTCCCCTACATTCTGCCCAAATCCACCTAAAATTCCCCCCAAATCCACCCCAAATTTGCCCCAAATTCCTCCCTAACCCACCAGAAATTCCCCAAATCTGCACAGTCCCGCAAAAGTTCCCCAAAATTCCCCCAAAGTCCACCCAAATTTTCCCCCAGATTCTGCCAAAGTTCCCAAAACCTCTCCAAACTTCCACAAAAAATTCCACTGAAATTTCCCCAGAATCCCCCCCCCCACAAAATTCTCCCTAATTGCCATCATGTCCTGTGGAATTTCGGGATGAGGTTTGGAAGAGCCTCTGGAATTTGGGGAGGTTTGGGAGATAAATTCCTGACATTTGGGGGCATTTGGGGTTAAACTCCTGGAATTTGGAGGATTTTAGGGTTAAAGGCTGGAAATTTGGGGGGGGGGGATAAACCCTTAAAATTTGGGTGCTTTTGGGGTTCACATCCTGACACTTTGGGGGATTTACCTCCCAAAATTAGGGATTTCTGGGGTTAAACCCCTGGAATTCAGGGGATTGGGAGATTTATCACCTAAAATATTAAGGGATTTGGGGTTAAAATCCTGGAATTTGGTGTGTTTGGGGATAAATCCCTGGAATTTGGGGGTCCTTCGCCAAAATTTGGGAAGCTTTGGGGTTTGAAGTCTGGGAATTTGGGAGTTTTGGGGATTAAATCTTCGAATTTGGCTGGGAAGGGGTGGAATAAACCTCTGGCATTTGATGGATTTGGGGATTTACTCCAAAAGTCTGATGGGTGAATTAGGGAAGGAGGGGAGGGATCCAAAACGCGTCGAATTTCACATTCCCATCACTGGGATGAGTTGGGAACACCTTGAGTGGGGGGGAGGGACCTTCCTTTAACCCCATTCCTGTGGAATTCCAGCTTTTCTCGGGAGAAACCCCCCCCTTTCCGCAGCAAAAGCTGCGTCAGGAGCTGAATTGCACTTAAGGGGGGGGGATTTGGGAATTTTTGGGATGGGGAGGGGCTGTGATGAGAATTCCCAGGTTCGAGGCAGCCCCAGGGGACTCGATCCCAAAAAAAAACCCCCACCCCCTAGGATGAGATTCCGGCATCTGGGAATGAGGAGGGGCTGGAGGAAGCAGCCTCAAATATTCTTCCTATCAATAAAAATCCTTATTGTTGGTAATTCAGTGGATCATTCACTCAACATTCCCGACATTCCCAGAGCACTTCTCCCCCCCTCCGGACATTTTGGGGATGAATCCTCTTTATTTTCAGTGGGTTTTCCCTTTTCTTTTTTTTTTGGAATCTCTCTGGGTTTTTGCGTGTTTCCTTCCTTTTATTTATGTTTTTCCTTTTTTTTTTATCCTTTTTTTTTTATGTTCCCCCCCCCCCTTTTTATATGTTTTCCCCCTTTTTTGATCTTTTTCCCCTTTTTTGTTTTTCCCCTCTTTTGGGTTTTGTTTGTTTTTTGGTTTGTGTGTTTGTTTTCCCCACTTTTTTTGTGGCTTCCCCCCCCCCCTTTCCTTTTTTTTTGGGTCTGTTTTCCCTCCTTTTTTTTTTTCAGGGATTGGGAAAAGCACGCCTAAAACCGGGGAAAGCATTCCCAAACCGGGACAAACATTCCCGGGACAGGGAAAAAATCACTCCCAGGACAGGGAAAACACAATCCCAGTTTAGGGAAAACATTCCCAGCCCCTCCCCCCACCGCGTTCCTCCTCCTCTTCCTCCCGCCTGGATCAACCCTTTCCTGTGTTCTCCCAGAAGGATCCGGGCAGGAAACGGCGCCGGGAACCGGGATCCTGGAATTCCCAGTAATACTGGATCGGGGTGGGGGGTGGGAGGCGGGCAGAGCATCCCCGTTTTTTCCCTGGAAATCCCAAATTTCCTGAGAGGAAATCTGTGGATTCTTTTCAAGGCTCCTGTTGGTTTTTCCAGCTTTTCCTTTGGAATCTTGGGAGAGAAAAAAACTCCCCCAAAACGCAGGAATTTCTGGCTTAAATCTTCCGAAATCCCTTGGGGTTTTTTGGGTTTTTTTTGGTTTTTTTTTTGGGTGAAGTCTTCCCACGAGGAATGATCCCTACAGATTCCATCCGATTGGATTGTTCCAGGATGGGAAAAGCTTGGGAAGGGGCTTCCTGGAGCTGTTCCACCTCTGGAGATGCTACAGGACGAGGATTTGAAAGCCCTTCCACGAGGGAGGGGGTTGGGAAAACGAAGAAAAACAGGATTTCCAGGCGTTTCTAAGCCATTCCCGAGGAAAAACTGGGAATAACTGGGAATCACTAACTGATTTATTACTACTCATGGAAAGGAAGCAACTCCCAACATCGAGAACGACACCAACTGGAATCTGCGACACAATGACACCGGAAACACCAGGAAAGGGCGAAATCCCACAGAAATCACAGTTTGGGGGCATTTCCCCCCCAAAATATCCTTGGTTTTGGAACTTTTTCAGCTCGTTTTTGGCCCTTTTGGGGTCACGTGTCCTCTGAAAATTCCAGCTCCCAGGGAAGTTCTTGGTTTCATCCAGTTCCTTCCTCTTCCTCCAGAATTTCGGGACCTTCCTGCCCTGCCCGTGGTGGCTCTGGAGGTTCCCAAACCAAGAAACCTTGGAATTTTTGGGTAATTACCCAGAATTTTGGGGATAATTTGGTCCAAATTGGGGCCATTGAGCCCCAATACTCCTAATTAGCATATTCATTAACACATAATTAACATGGGAATTGGAGGCTCCAAGGGCAAAACTGAGGGAAGAATGTGGGATTTTTGGGGTTCCTTCAAGTGTTTCCCAATCAGGTGGGGGGGCTCTGTGGGAATTCTGGGATCTGGAGCTGGTGGGAATGTCCAGGGGGTTCTCCTGTGATGACGTCATGGGGGGGAGCAGCAATGACGTCATGGTTGAGCCACTGATGACGTCATGGCTGGGCAACGGATGACATCATAATTGAGCCAATTGTGACAACATGGTTGAGGCAATGATGTCATGGCCTAGACATTGATGATGTCATGGCTGAGCCACCGATGACATCATGCTTGAGCCAATGTTGACGTCGCGTTTGCGTCACTGATGACGTCATCAGTTGAGTCATGGTTGAACCATCAGTGACATCATTGTCAAGCCAACCATGACATCATGGTTGAACCAATAATGACATAACAACTGAGCGTCATGATCATCTCCACAAACTCCTCCATCGTTTCATTTCCACTTCGAATCCTCCTCCCAACTCCCAGGATTTCGGCAATTCCCGACTTTTTTCAAAAGTTTTTTTTTCCAGATTTTTATCCCCTTCTGGGACAAAACAAGAGTAATTTTTCACCTCAATTCTTTATTTTTTTTTCCCCTCTATTTCTTGATGTTTTTCTTCATTTTTTGGTGAATATTTTTGCTTTTTTAGGGTTTTTTGAAGGGTTTTGATTTTTTTCCTCATTTGTTTTCATCCATTTCCCATTTCTTCCTCAGAAAACTGGAAGAAATAAGAATTTTAGGCAGCAGAAAAGCACTACTTTTCCCACTTTTTCTGCTCGTACCCAAACATGTAGAATCCGGAAAACAACCCCCAAAAATTAAGGAAAATCCATAAAAAGCTCACCACAAACACACAGAAGTTGTCCACATGGAAAAGGGAAAAAAACCCCATCCAGAATTCCCAAAATATTCCATGAAGTGCCTGGAAAACGACATCACTAAATCACTGATTTTGCCCCAAAAATGGTGACTTTTTTCCAAAAAGGAAAAAAAAAATATGGTTAAAATTAAAACAGGAAAAGCCCAACTGGCTCCGTTTGGGATAATGTGGGATAAGAGGGAGAGAAGGGAAATGTGGAATATCCCAGAGTTCCTCATGCAGCTCCAGGGTGGGCACAGGATGATGCAAAAGTGTGGGAAAACTCCCGTTTCCAGCGTTTTTCTCCCCAAATTCCTGCGAGGTGGGAGCAGAGGGAGAAACCGGGATGGGTGTGGTTCTTCATCCCATGGGAAATGCCAGAGAGGGGAACTCAGGTTTGGGGGGGGTTGGGCTGGGAATGGGGGTTCAACTGGCCCCAGTTGGGCACTGGGAGCACTGGGCAGGTGGGCGGAGCCACAGGACGAGGGGGAGATCCCCATCCCCTAATTAATGACATCATTAATTAGCCTGGAAGGTCGAAGGGCTGCAGGTTGGAAGAAGCTCCAACGACTGGTCAACGGGACCCAACGATCGGTCAATGGGACCCAACGATCGGTCAATGGGACCCAATGATCGGTCAGTGGGACCCAATGATCGGTCAGTGGGACCCAATGATTGGTCAATGGGACCCAACATTGATGAGTCAACAAGACCCAACAACTGGTCAATGAGACTCAACAACGATTGGTCAATGGGACCCAAAAATGAGTCAATGGGACCCAACAACAATGAGTCAACAAGACCCAATGATGAGTCAACAAGACTCAACAATGACTCAACGGGACCCCACGCTGGGTCTCTGCCCCAATCGGGCACTGGGAGCACTGGGAGCACTGGGAGGAGCCCTGGGAGCAGGGGGTGGGTGGGGGAGCCTCAGTTGATGAGCGAGGGGGTCTGGGCGCCTGCAGGCGGGGCCGGGGCGAACGACGGGTGGGCGAAGGCGCGGCCGGGGAACGAGAGCGCCCAGGGCAGCTCCAGGGCCGGGCCGGAGAGCGCCGGCACGGGCAGCGCCGAGGGCGACGCCGGGAACGACCCCAGCGAGGCCACCGGGGCCGGGAAGGCGGCGCCGGGGAAGCCCCCGGAGCCCGGCGGAGGCGGCGGCGTCTCGGCGGCCACGGCGGCAGCGCCGGTGGCCACTGCCTTGGGCTTGTCCCCGCCGTGGGTTCGCTGGTGCCGGTTGAGGTGGGAGCTGCGGCTGAAGCACTTGCCGCACTCGGAGCACTTGTAGGGCTTCTCGCCGGTGTGCACGCGCTGGTGGATGGTGAGCTCGGAGCGCTGGATGAAGCTCTTGCCGCACTCGGAGCACTGGTAGGGCTTCTCGCCCAGGTGGATGCGCTGGTGCTTGATGAGGTTGGAGGAGACGCTGAAGCACTTGCCGCACACGTTGCACTCGTAGGGCTTCTCCCCGGTGTGCATCCGCCGGTGCTTGGTGAGGTCGGACTTCTGGATGAAGCCCTTGCCGCACTCGGGGCACTTGTAGGGCTTCTCCCCGAGGTGGGTGCGCTGGTGCTTGATGAGGTTGGAGCGGACGCCGAAGCTCTTCCCGCAGTCCCCGCACTCGTAGGGCTTCTCCCCCGTGTGCATCCGCCGGTGCTTCACCAGCGCCGAGTTCTGCCCAAAGCTCTTGCCGCACTCGGGGCAGGCGTACGGTTTCTCGCCAGTCTGAGTGCCCTGGTGTCTCACCGCGCCCTCCTTAGCCCGGGCTGAGAAGCTCTTCCCGCACTCGCTGCACTTGTGGCTCCGCTCCGGCGCCGCCCGCGGGCCCCACGGGAAACTCTTCCCGCACTCGCCGCACTTGGAGGGTCTCTCAGCGGCGCCGCCCAAGAGCCGCCGGCGCTTGGCGGGCGAGGCCAAGAAGCTCTTGCCGCACTCGCAGCAGCGGCGCGGCTGCTCGGCGCCGGCGTGGACGCGCTGGTGCCGCTCCAGGTGGGAGCTCTGCGAGAAGCTCTTGCCGCAGTCGCCGCAGCGGAACGGCTTCTCGCCCATGTGGATGCGCCGGTGCCGGTCGAGGTGGGAGCTCCAGGCGAAGCTCTTGCCGCAGTCGCCGCACTCGTAGGGCTTGGCGGCACCGGTGTGGCTCTGACGGTGCTTCGCCAGTGCCGTATCGGCGCCGAAGCCCTTCCCGCACTCCCCGCACTTGTAGGGCTTGTTGGCGGCAGCGCCGCCGTGCCGGCGCTTGACCAAGGCCGCTGGTTTGGCCGCCGACCCCTTCCCGCGCTCCGGCGGCTCCGGGTGGTGGCCGCAGTCGGCGCAGCGGCACGAGGGGTCCCCGCGGGCCGTGGCGTGGGTGCGGCGGTGCCGGTCGAGGTGGGAGCTCCAGCTGAAGCTCTTGCCGCACTCGGGGCAGGCGTAGGGCTTCTCGCCGGTGTGGATGCGCCGGTGCCGCTCCAGGTGGGAGTTCCAGTTGAAGCCCTTGCCGCAGTCGCCGCATTTGTAGGGCTTCTCCTCCAGGTGGAGCTTCTGGTGTTTCACCAGGCTGGTGCTGGCCGGGAAGCTCTTGCCGCAGACGCCGCACTGGCAGGGCGCGGCGCCGGCGTGGACGCGTTGGTGCTGGATGAAGGCCGAGCCCACGCTGAAGGTCTTGCCGCAATCGGGGCACTTGTAGGGCTTGTCGCCGGCGTGGCGCCGCTGGTGGGTGATGAGGGTGGAGCTCAACCTGAAGCACTTCCCGCACTCGGGGCACTTGTGGGGCCGTTCTGTCCCGCGCCGGCGCTTGGGGAAGGCAGAGCCGAACGCCAGAGCTTTACCGCAGTCGTGGCACCGCCCGTGGCCCAGGAGGCTCCGCGGGGGGAACTTCTTGAAGCCCTGGGGTCCTGACTTGCTCTGGCGCTTCCCCGCGGCCTTGTGGGGCTGGGGGTCAGGTTTCTGGGAAGCCTCGGTGGGTTTGGAGCCCTCGGTGTCGGCGGAGTTGGCGGCCGGCTTGGGTTTGGTCACTGAGGCCGCGGCGGCCACGGCGTCCACTTTCTCCAGCTCACCCGGGGGAGGCTCCTCGTCGTCGTTGTCGGTCAACAAACCGTTGTCTGCTGGGAGGAAAACGGGGGTGAGGGCCTGTCAATGCCCCCAAACCACCCCGCTCATGGGTCTGGGGCTCTTCCAAAACACGTCCTTGATCAACCTGGTCAACTTGATCAACTTGGTCAACTTGATCAACTTGGTCAACTTGATCAACTTGGTCAACTTGATCAACTTGGTCAACTCGATCAACCTGGTCAACTTGATCAACTTGGTCAACTTGATCAACTTGGTCAACTCGATCAACTTGGTCAACTTGATCAACCTGGTCAACTTGATCAACCTGGTCAACTTTTCCCACCCCCCTCACGGATTTTGGGCTCCTCCAACCCTCTCTTGGCCAACGTTCCCGCCCGCAGTCAACTCACCAGCCCCAAGGCCCCTCCTCCGGTGGGACTCGGCGAAGGCGGTGATTCGCGGCCAACTGATGGCGATTTCCTCGGCTGGGGGGGGGGGAACATTTGGACACCAGTTTTAGGTCTTTTTACCCCAAAAAAACTCAATCCCACCATGGCCGTCAACGACCTTGAAGCCTCGCCTGAAACCGGTCAAACTCCCAGGCTCGATTTTGGTGGATTTGAGTGGATTTTGGTGGTTTTTTCCCCCCGTCATGAATTCACCCGCTAATTAAATCCCCATTAATTGAATTTTATCCATTGGAAACAAGCAGAAATTAAGGAGAAAGGAGGGATTCTGGAGCCTCACCCAAGGAAATGACGCTCTCGTAGCTGTCCTGCATCTTATCCCGGTTTTCCAAGCTTGTCCTGGTGCTGACAGGTTTTTTGGGAAGAGATTCCCCCCTAATCCCTGAAATTCCAACAGCTCTAGGTCAGGTTTTGGGGTCCACAAGGGGGGGGACCCTAAAATTGGGGTATAACCCAACCTCCCCCAGGATTTTTGGGAAGGGATTCCCTTTTAATTCGTAATTTCCCCCTCTTATTCCTAATTTTCCCTCTTAATTCCTATTCCTCCCCCCCAATTCCTAATTTTCCCCCTTAATTCCTGATTTCCCCCTAAATAAGGATTGGGAATGGGGGTGGAGGGATTTAATGGGAATGAGGGGATTAAAAGGGGGGTTAAAAAGCAACAGGAGGAAGGAAAAAGGGGGAAAGGAATGGAAAAAAGGGGAAAAACGGAAAATGGGCAAAACAGGGGAGGAAAAAATGGAAAGAGAAGGAAAAATGGGTAAAAGGGGAAAAAATGGGACGGAAGGAAGGGGAAAACAGGAAAAAATTAATGGAAAAGGAGGGAAAACGGGGAAGGAGCAGTGGGAGGGAGAAATGGGGAGGGAGCAGGGAATAAATGAGGGAATAAAGCTTTTGGAAGCCCAGAGAGGGAATTTTGGGAATCAGGAAGGGCGAGGGGAATGGAAAAAAGCGGCTGGATCGGAAGGAGGCAGGGATGGGGGGAAATTGGGAAAGGGAGAGTTAAATAAAGGGGCGGGGGGTCGGGGCGCGGCCGGGCGAGGTTTTAAATTCCAGAAAGAATTCCCGTTACCTGGAAGCGGAGGATGCCGAGACGCCGGAGGTGGGCAAAGGGAAGAAGGATTTGGGAATGGGGGGAGGGTGTTGGAATTTGGGGAGGGCGGAAGAAAGGAGGGATTTTGGGGGGGAGGAGGGGGACTGTTGCACGTCGGCTCTCAGAGCCCCGGACACACAGGAAGGGGATGGAATAAACCGGGATCAGGAAAAAAAGGGAGGGGGACAGGAAAAGGTGGTGGGAGGGGAGGGGTGGGAAAAGGGGGAGGGGGAGGGGGGGAGATCCCGAGGCCGCGAGCCCCCGGGAAGGCTGGGATTTGGGAAGGAAGGTCGGGATTTGGGAGAGGGTTTTGGAGGGTGATGGAGTGGGAGAAACGACACCCCCCCCCCAAAAAAAAAAAAAAAAAAAGGAGGGGGTTGGGGGAGGGTCGCGGCGCCGCAGTCTGGCTTTGTCCCCCCTGGGCTGGGGGGAGGATGCAATTGGGGGGGTCCTGAAATTCCTGGGGGAGAGGAAATTGGGTGGGATTTGAGGGGGATTGGGGTCTTCATTCCTTCATTCCTTGGCGTGACCGGGGGAGACTGGAGGGTCCTTTTATTCCTGGGGAAAAGGGACTGGAGGGAACTGGGGTGGATTGAGGGGGATTTGGGGGGTCCCGACATTCCGGGGGAGTGGTTTTGGAGGGGTCCCTTCATTCCTCCATTCACTGGGAGGGTCCCAACCTCCCCCCCCCCAAACCTTGATTATTCTGGGGGGTTTTTCTGGGAGGATGACGGGGCTGTCCCGCTTTCCCAGGGTTTTCCAGTGGGCGATGGATCCATGGGAGGAGCCGGAGCTGGAGCAGACGGTGCTTTTCAGGGATAACGGGGAGGAGGAGGAGGAAGAGGAGGAGGAGGAGGATCCCTACGACCCCCCCGGGATGCAGAGTAAGAGCTGGGAGGTCTCCCAGAACTTTGGAAGGGCTTGGAGACCCCCATGGACACCTGGGAATGGGGTCTCCATCCCTCTTCATCCATATCCTGTGGGACTGGGATCTCCATCTACTTTAATATCCCACAGGAATGGGGTCTCTATCCCATGGGAATGGGGGTTTTATCCCCCTTGATATCCCATGGGAATGGGGTCTGAATCCCATGGGGATGGGGGTTTTATCCCCCTTGATATCCCATGGGAATGGGGGTTTTATCCCCCTTGATATCCCATGGGAATGGGGTCTGAATCCCATGGGGATGGGGGTTTTTTGCCCCCTTGATATCCCATAGGAATGGGGTCTGAATCCCATGGGAATGGGGTTTTTATCCCCCTTGATATCCCACGGGAATGGGGTCTGAATCCCATGGGAATGGGTTCTTTGCCCCCTCTTGATATCCCATAGGAATTGAGTCTCCATCCCATTGGGAGTGGACTCTGAATACCATGGGATGGGGATTTCATCCCATGGGATTGGCAGCTCATTCCCTCCCATCCCAACGGGATTAACTCCCCCCCCCCTCCATTCCCTCTCTCCCAGGACCCCTGAACGACCTCTCCCCCCACTCCCGGGGCGAGCCGGAGATCGTTGAGCTCGACACCACCCCCCTCCCCCGTGTGTCCATCGCCAACCCCGACGAGGATTCCCGGGGCACCCTGCGCTGGACGGTGGTGCAGCAGATCAACCCCGCTTGCCCCTCTGCTGCCGGCACCAAATCCACCTCCTCCTCCTCCTCCTCCTCTTCCTCGGCCTTCTCCGACTTGAGGAGCGTCATCGTCCTGCAGAAGAGCTTCGAGTGCGGCGAGTGCGGCAAGAGCTTCAGCTGCAGCTCCCACTTCCACAAGCACCGCCGGACGCACACCGGCGAGCGGCCCTTCCGCTGCGGCCACTGCGGCAAGGCCTTCAACGTCAGCTCCAACCTCTACCGCCACCAGCGCGCCCACGCCACCAACTCGGCGATGACGGCGACACCAACTCCAACGCCGAGGGCTCGCGGCCTTCCCTACAAATGCCAGGAGTGCGGGAAGAGCTTCACCGTCAGCTCCAACCTCTCGCGGCACCAGCGAGCCCACGCCGCCGGCTCGGCGGCGGCGCCGGCGCCGGAGCCAAGCCCAGGGGCTCGTGGCCTCCCCTACGAGTGCCAGGAGTGCGGGAAGAGCTTCCGGCGCAACAAGGAGCTGGCGACGCACCAGCGGCTCCACACGGGCCGGCCGCCCTTCCAGTGCGGCCACTGCGGCAAGGGCTTCTCGTGGAGCTCCCACTGGGAGCGGCACCAGCGCGTGCACACCGGCGAGAAGCCCTACCAGTGCCCCGAGTGCGGCAAGAGCTTCAGCCGCAGCTCCCACCTCTACCGGCACCAGCGCGGCCACGCCGGCGGCCGCTCCTACATCTGCACCTACTGCGGGCGCAGCTTCGGCAGCACCCTGCACTTCGAGCGGCACCAGCGCACCCACACCGGCCAGCGGCCCTACCGGTGCACCCTGTGCCGCAAGAGCTTTGGTGATGCCCCAGCACTGGTCAAGCACCAGCGCCTCCACCTGGATGGGCCCTTCCGCTGCGAGGAGTGCGGGAAAGCCTTCGGCGCCCGCGCCCAGTACGCGCGGCACCGGCGCAACCTCCACGGCGGCGCCGGCGGCGTGGGTGGTGGCGGCGCCGGCGCGGCGGAGAAGCCCTACCGGTGCGGGGACTGCGGGAAGAGCTTCTCGTGGAGCTCCCACTGGGAGCGGCACCAGCGGATCCACACCGGGGAGAGGCCGTACCAGTGCGGGGACTGCGGCAAGCGCTTCGGCCGCACGTCCCACCTGTACCGGCACCAGCGGACCCACGCCGGCGGCCAGCCCCACGTGTGCGCCGAGTGCGGCAAGAGCTTCAACAGCACCCTCCACTTCCACAAGCACCAGAGGGCCCACGCCGGGCCCCGGCACGGCTGCGCCGACTGCGGGAAGGCGTTCGCCGACGGCTCGGCGCTGGCCAAGCACCGGCGGGTTCACGGCGGAGGAGGGGGGGGGGTTGGGGCGGAGAAGCCCTTCCCGTGCCCACGGTGCGGGAGGAGGTTCGGGGGCACCTCCCACCTGCAGCGGCACCTGCGGAGCCACGGCGAGGAAGAGGCCGAGCTCGTGGGCTGAGCGGCGGCGCTGCCAAGTCGGGCGGCGTTCCAGAGGGGGGCCCGCCGGATGAACTCGGCTCGTTGGGTTGGCCAACCTTGATGATGACTTGGGTAGAACCCCCCGTTCTGGCATGCCGGTGTTCCAGAGGGGCTGCCAGAGGAGCCTGACCCTGGTTGGGTTGGGCCAGCCTTGGCTTGGGAAGAACCCATTCCCAGCGGAAATGTTACGGTGGGGCTGCCAGATGAACCCAACTCGTTGGGTTGGCCAGCCTTGACCTCAGTTTGGGTAGAGGCCCAATTCCCGATGGGAATCCCAGTGGGATTGGGCTGTTCCGGCGTAGTTTCTGTAGGGTAGAGTAGGAACAGTGTAGAGTAGAGGGCGGAAGGAGGAGCCGAGTGGGAATTAGGGAGTTTTCCAAAGGGGAATTTTCCCTCTGGGTCAGAAAAAAAAAAAAACAAAAACAAAAAAAGATGGAATCCTGCCAAGGAAAAACCCAACCAAGCTCCTGCTCCAGGGAGGATTCCAGAAGAAGCACTTCCAAGGTCAGTACTCTTGGAGGTGCCACCGACTCATTGCCGAGGTCAGAGAGACCCCAAAATGTGGGATGGAGTCACTGCTGGATCATCCCGAATTCCACATCCAACCTTGACTCAGAGCATGATGATGTCGTCAAGGATTTGGGGCTAAAAAACCCACCAATTTGGGGCAAAAAAATCAATTTGAGGCAAAATCCCTCAATTAGGGGTAAGAACCCCAAATTGGGGAAAAATCCCCTGATTTGGAGGGAAAACCCCCAATTTTGGGGTAAAATTCCATGATTTGGTGGGTTTCGGTTGAGGAAGAAGCCAGATTGTCCCAACTCCACCGTCTCCCAGAAATTTGGGAAGTTTATTTATTGTGTTTATTCAGCTGTTGGTTGGGACAATCCCAAAGGTTGGGATGATTCCGAGAGTTGGGGCAATTCCAAAGGTTGGGAGAATCCCAAAAGCTGGGATAAGGGCCGATCTGTCCCAGCCCAGGGGCTCCTCCTGGCATTGATCAGTGGGGCTGGAGGAGCATCCAAAGGGAATTCCAAGCTGGAAAAACAGGAATCCTTGAGATGAACCTCGGGAGTGGGAGCAGGACGTGAACCTAGGGGGGTTTTCTCAGTGGATTTTGGGGGTTGGATCCATCTCTTCCCAAGGGAAGCAGGAGCTGTGTTTGTTTTGTGAATAAAAATAGATTTAGTGGGAAAAGCTGGAGCGTCCTCTGAGCTTTTCCCAGGAAACTGGAAGTCAGGGGGTTTGTCCAAGACTGAGCCCCACATTTCTGGAAAATCTTGGGAAACTCCGTGGGGAATTTCTTGGGCAATTCCTTGGGCATCTCTTGGGAATTCCTTGGCTCCCCTTTCCCTCAGAGGGTCCCTGTGGAGCTGAGACATGGGGGGGGGGGAGGGGGAAACGGGATGGGAGACCACCCCTCAAAATCCCTCCTTCCATCCCTCCCTCCATCCCTCAGGATTCTCCAGGTCCGATAGAGGGAGGGGGAGGGAGAAGAAGGGGAGAGGGGAGGGAGAGAGGGGAGGGACTGAGGGAGGAGGGAGGGAAGGGGGAGGAGGAAGAGAAGAAGGAGGGGGAGGGAGACGGAGGGAGGGAGAAGAAGCGGAGGAGGAGGTGGGAGAGGGAGGAAGAGGAGAATGAGGAGCAGAAGGAGGAGGAAGAGGAGGAGAGGGGAGGAGGAGGAGGAAGAAGGGGAGGAGGAGGGAGAAGGGGAGGAGGGAGGAGAGAAAGGAGGGAGAGAGAAAGAGGGAGAGGAGGGAGGAGGGAGGGGAGGAGAAGAAGGAGGAGGGGAGAGGGGAGGAGAAGAAGGGAGGGGACGAGAAGGAAGACGGGGAGAGGGAGGGAGGAAGGGAGGAGAGGGAGGGGAGGGAGGAGAGGAGGAGGAGGAGGAGGGGGAGAGAGAGGGGGAGGAAGAGGAGCCGAGGAGGCGGCGGCGGTTCCTCTGTATCCGGGTCACGCCGGAGCCGCCTCCAGCGGGATCGGGATCGGGATTGGGATTGGGAGCGGGAGCGGCATCCAGCGTGGGAGACCCCCGAGACGGGGGGGAGGGTGGGTGTGAAACCACGCTGTGCCCACCCCCCCTGCAGGTAACAGGGGACCCCCAAATTCCTCCCAAATTCCGACCCCCCGATCCGTCGCAAATTCCCGCAAATCCTGCCCGAATTCCCCCAAATCTCCCTCCACACGTTCCCCAAATTCCCCCCAAATCCCTCCTAAATTTCCCCCAAATCCCCCTCAAATTTCCCCAAAATCCCCCCCTCAAATCCCCTCAAATCTCTCCCAACCCCCCCCCAAAAAAAATTTGGGGAGCAAAGGGAGGCCCCCACCCCTCAACCCCTCCCTGAACAAAAGGGATTTTATGGGAGGAGCCTGACAGGGTTTTTGGGGGGTCTCTTTTCAGACGCAGTTGTGGGGTGACCCCACAACCTCCCGGGACCCCCAAAATTTGGGGTCACGATGCAGGAGAACTATGAGAACGTGATTTCCTTGGGTAAGGCGGGGACCCCAAAATTTGGGGAGGGGGAGTTGATTTTGGGAGGTCCCCAGGGCACAGTTTGGGGGTGGGGGAGTCATTTTGGGTCCTAATTTGGAGGGGGGGGGGGCTCATTTTGGGGACTATTCAAGACACAGTTTGGGGGGGGAGGGTCATTTTGGGATCCAAAAATGGGGCAAAATTTGACCAAAAATGGAGAAAAATGTGGTTAGAAGTGGGGCGAAATTTGACCAAAAAAGGGGGAATTTGGCCAAAAAATGGGATAAGTTTGTCCAAAAATGGGGCAAAACTTGGCCAAAAATGAGGCTCAATTTGGTCAAAAATGGCTAAAATTTGACAAGTAACAAGACAAAATTTGGCCAAAAAATGACCCAAAATTGGGCAAAAAATGAGGGGAAATTTGGCCAAAAATGGGTTGAACGTGGCCCAAAATACACCTAAAATTTGGGTAAAAATCAGCCCCCCCTGAAAAAATGGGCCAAATTTGGCCCATAATGGGAGGTTTAGTCCTAAATTATTTGCGGGGAAGGGGAATTGGGAACGTTGAGCTTCTTGCTTTTCCGGCAGCCGAGGAAATTGCCATCAGCTGGCCCCGGATCACGGCCTTTGCTGAGTCCCACCGCAGACGGGGCTTGGTGTCAGGTGAGTCAGGGGGAAATTGGGGGGAATTCCGTCTGTTTTGGGAAAAAAAACCCAACAAAAGCCAATAAAACCCAAAAACCCACCAATATTATCGGGTTTTCCCATTAATTGGGGTGTTTTTTTCCCCCATGAATGAAACCTGCCCGAAACTGGGGGAATGCTGGAGGTTTGGGGGAAGAGCTCACGATAAACCCCCCCCTGAAATTGGGTGAATTCCATATAGGGATGTTCAGAATTGGGGGGGAATTTGGTTCCCTTTGGATATCAGGAGAAAAACCGCCCCAAATTTAGCTGAATTCTTTGGGATTTTCAGGAATCCTCCCCAAACTTGACCAAACCCCTTGAGATTTTTGGGAATTCCCCCAAGACTTAACCGAATCCCTCGAGATTTTCGGGGAAACTCCCCAAATTTGGTTGAATCCTTTGAGATTTTGGGGGAATTCCGCCCAAACTTGACCCGAATCCCTGAGGTTTTTGGGGGCCGACTTTTCCAGGTGTGGAAGCCGAGGGGGAGCAGGGCCAGCCCGAGCCTACCCAGGTGGCCCCCCCAGGGGTCTCCGGCGATGGGGGGGTGAATCCTGACCTCCGGAGGCAGTTGGGGCTCATCCTCCAAACTGCCGGAAGGACCCAGGTGGAAAAGATGCTCCGGGAGCTCGTCCGGGAACAGGGACAGGGTGGGAAGCGCCGGAACCGCAAGAAGACGCCCAAAGAAGGAGGTAAAATTTGGGAAGGAGCTTTGCCAGGAAAAACCCCCCCTCACCTCGAGGTGCTCCTGGAGACCTTCGTGGGGGGAGGGGGGTTAGGAGCATCCTGTGGGAAAAGGGGGAGGTTTGGTGGGTTCTCATGGCGAGATTCTGGGATGGATCAGGTGGAAAAAGGTCAACGCCACCAATGACCCTCAAGGTCCCCCCAAAAACCCTAACAAGGTGACTCCGGAGGGCCTCCAACTTCCCTCTGAGGGGGAAGAAGGGGTTTGTGTTGACCTAACTTCTGGTTTCCCACCGTGGTCCAGGTGCCGGCGCCGGCAGCAGCACCGAGGATGATCCGGCACCACAGGACGATGAGAAGCCACCGCCAGGAGACGCCGCTCAAAACCAAGACGAGGAGCCCGCTGCCGACTCCCCCGGTGCTGGTAAAGCCCTGGGAGGCCGGAATGTGTCCCAGGGCAGTTGCGCCAAGTGCGGGAGCCCGGCCAAGCCCCGGCGCTGCTCCGAGTGCCACCGGCGCTGCCGGCAGCCGGAGAAGCCGCACCGCTGCGGGGACTGCGGGAAGGGCTTCAGCCGAGGGTCCAACCTGGCCCAGCACCGGCGCATCCACACCGGGGAGCGCCCGCACCGCTGCGGTGATTGCGGGAAAGGCTTCATCCAGCGCTCCGACCTGGAGCGGCACCGGCGCGTCCACACCGGGGAGCGGCCGTACCCCTGCGGGGACTGCGGCAAGCGCTTCAGCGTCAGCTCCCACCTGGACCGGCACCGCCGGACTCATACCGGGGGGCCCGGCCCGCCCTCCTCCCAGCCGCGCCCGCGGCCGCGCCCGGCGCCGCCGGAAGCGCCGGTGGCGGCTCCTCATCGCTGCGGGGAGTGCGGGAAGAGTTTTGCCCAGCGCTCGGCGCTGGCCAAGCACCGCAAGACGCACAGCGGGGAGAGGCCCCACCGGTGCGGGGACTGCGGCAAGAGCTTCAGCCGCGGCTCCAACCTCACCCAGCACCGGCGCATCCACACCGGCGAGCGGCCCTTCGCCTGCGGCGACTGCGGCAAGGGCTTCATCCAGCGCTCCGACCTGGAGCGGCACCAGCGCGTCCACACCGGCGAGCGGCCCTACACGTGCAACGAGTGCGGCAAGAGCTTCAGCGTCAGCTCCCACCTGGACCGGCACCAGAAGATCCACGCGGCGCAGCGGGCGTCCTACCGCTGCCCCGAGCACCTCGCCGGCTTCCTGGCCGCCCACCGGCATGGCCGTCTCTTCCAGTGCGCCCAGTGCGGGCGCTGCTTCGGCCAAGGCGCCGCCTTGCTCAAGCATCAGCGTGCCCACGGAGCCCACGGCGCTGCCGTGGCAGCGCAGCCCCCGAAGTGCCTGGACTGCGGGAAGAGCCGGGGCTGCCGAGGGCAGCAGTGCCTGGACTGCGGGAGGGAGGCGGATCCCGGCGCGGCGCCGGCAGAGGCGCGGAGAAGCCCTACAAGTGCGGGGAGTGCGGGAAGGGTTTCGGGCAGCGCTCGGCGCTGGTGAAGCACCGGCGCATCCACACCGGAGAGAAGCCCTACCAGTGCGGGGAGTGCGGCAAGGGCTTCATCCAGAAGTCCGACCTCACCATCCACCGGCGGATGCACACCGGGGAGAAGCCCTACAAGTGCGGGGAGTGCGGCAAGTGCTTCAGCGTCTCCTCCAACCTCATCACCCACCAGCGGACCCACCTGGGCGAGAAGCCCTACCAGTGCTCCGAGTGCGGCAAGAGCTTCATCCAGCGCTCCGAGCTCACCATCCACCAGCGCGTGCACACCGGCGAGAAGCCCTACAAGTGCTCCGAGTGCGGCAAGTGCTTCAGCCGCAGCTCCCACCTCAACCGGCACCAGCGAACCCACGGCGGGGACAAGCCCAAGGCGGCGGCCGCCGGCGCTGCCGCCGTGGCCGCCGAGATGCCGCCGCCCCGCCGGGCTCCGGGGCTTCCCGGCGCCGCCTTCCCGGCCCGGTGGCCTCGCTGGGAGTCGTTCCCGGCGTCGCCCTCGGCGCTGCCCGTGCCGGCGCTCTCCGGCCCGGCCCTGGAGCTGCCCTGGGCGCTCTCATTCCCCGGCCGCGCCTTCGCCCACCCGTCGTTCACCCCGGCCCCGCCTGCAGGTGCCCAGACCCCCTCGCTCATCAACTGAGAATCCCCCACCCACCCCCTGCTCCCAGGGCTCCTCCCAGTGCTCCCAGTGCTCCCAGCGCCTGACTGGGGCGGGTTGGGCGCAGAGACCCAGCGTGGGGTCCCGTTGAGTCATCGTTGAGTCTTGTTGACCCATCGTCGTGGGGTCCCATTGGCTCATCACTGTTGGGTCCTGTTGACCCATCGTGGGGTCTCACTGAGTCATCATTATTGGGTCTCATTGACTCATCATTGTTGGGTCCCATTGACCCATTATTGTTGGGTCTCCTTGAGTCATCATTGTTGGGTCCCGTTGACCCATTATTGTTGGGTCTCCTTGACTCATCAATGTTAGGTCCCATTGACCGATCGTTGGGTCCCGTTGACCGATCATTGGATCCCATTGACCAATGATTGGGTCCCAATGACCGATCATTGGATCCCATTGACCGATCGTTGGGTCCCATTGACCGATCGTTGGGTCCCGTTGACTGATCATTGGATCCCATTGACCAATGATTGGGTCCCAATGACCGATCATTGGATCCCATTGACCGATCGTTGGGTCCCATTGACCGATCGTTGGGTCCCATTGACCAATGATTGGGTCCCATTGACCGATCATTGGGTCCCATTGACCGATCGTTGGGTCCCATTGACCAATGATTGGGTCCCATTGACCGATCGTTGGGTCCCGTTGACCAGTCGTTGGAGGTTCTTCCAACCTGCAGCCCTTTGACCTTCAGGGTTAATTAATGATGTCATTAATTAGGGGATGGGGATCTCCCCCTTGTCCTGTGGCTCCGCCCACCTGCCCAGTGCTCCCAGTGCCCAACTGGGACCGACCTATCACTGGTGGCTCCTCCCCCACCCCTCCAATTTCAGGACAAATTCAATGAATTGCCCGCTAATTAAGTCGAATTTTAATGACCTTTCCAAGCCCCTCCCACTGCCTCAAAGCCCTGCCTAAAATTCCCCAAATTCAGCTGAAGTCCGAGCATTAAAAACGAGGCCAAAAAGGTAAAAATTGAAGCAAAAAAAGGCTTTTCTGGGCTCTTTCCCCCATTTTCTGCTGGATTTGGGGCTTTTTTGGGCAAATTATTTCGGGAGTGGTTGGGAACGAGGAGCAAAAATTCCCTTTTTCTTCCTTATTTTTACTGTCTGTGTCTTGGTGGCTTTTGGCACAACCGGGTGGTGATGATGCTGCCTAATATGGGGTAAAACCACCCAGATTTGGTAAAAACCCAAAAGTTGGTAAAAAATACCTAATTTTGGGAGAAAAACACCCAAAGTTGAGGAAAAAAAACCAAATTTGGGGGAAAAAAAAATCCAAAACAAGACCAAATTGATGGGGGAAATGCAAAATTTAAGAAAAAAAACCAAATTTGGGGGAAACCCCCAAATTTGTGAAGAAAGAGAAAAATAAGTTTGGGCAAAATGCCACCAAATTTTGGTTAAAAATACCCAAATTTGGGCCAAACCCCACAAATTTGGGTCATTAGAGCCCAGTGTGTGTTCTGGAGGAAAGATTTTCTTATGTTTGAGGTTTTCCCGCTTTTCCCAAACCCTTGTTCCAAAACCGGGAGGAAAATCGAGCATTTTCAGCCTTTTTTTTAAGAAAAATATTGAACTTTTGGTTTTTTTGTTACTTTTGTGACTTTGTATTTTCCACGTTGGGTCAATAAAAATCCAACTCGGGATGAAGAAACGGTCAGAAATGGGTTTATTTGTCATTTATCCCCCATAAAACACCCCAAAAATTTAGGGAGAAAAAAGGTCAAAAATGGGTTTATTTATTATTTCCCCCCCAAAAAATTAAGGGATTTAAAAAAAGCCACCAAAATGAGGTTTTTTTAATGATTTCTCCAGAAAACTTAAGGGTTAAAAATTCCCTCCCTTTCCCCAGCCTGAAAACTGGGGTAAAACATGGTCATTTTTGAAATTTTTTGGGGGAGGGATGGGGGAGAATCAATAAAGACATGTTAAATTATTATTATTATTATTATTATTAAATTATTATAAATACCCCCCAAAATCACAATAAATAACCTCAATTAAATAGAATAAATAACCGCAATTAAATAGAATAAATAAATAATAATTAAATAACAAATAATAATTAAATAACAAATAATAATAAATAAATACTGGAGGGGGCGGGGCTCAAGCTGAGGTAGGGGCACCCCTTGGGTGCCAAAATCAGCCCCTCCACCCCAATGGGCTCGATAATTATGCAAATGAGGTAGAGGTGACCTTGTTAAATATGCAAATGAGGTGGCACCACCCAGTTCCCACCCTCCCCAGTGCCCAACTGGGGACCAACTGGTCAAGCTGGGGTGGCATCAAAGACCCCAACCTGGAGCTCTCTGACCGTAATGACTCATTAACGGCTTCGTTAATTAGGGGATGGAGAACCGCCCCTCCTTCCGCGGCTCCGCCCACCTCCCCAGTGCTCCCAGTGCCCAACTGGGGCGGGTTGGCCCCGAAACCCCAGCGTTGGGTCCCGTTGACTCATCGTGGGGGCGTCTCCCAACCCGGAGCCCTTTGGCCTTCCGGGCTAATTAATTGATCTTGTTAATTCCCGTTGGCCCACAGGGGCATCCCAGCAGGAACTGTGGGTTCCACCGGTGTCCCCCACAGGTGTCACCACCAGTGTCCCCCACAGGTGTCATCACAGGTGCCCCCACAGGTGTCCACACCCACTGGGTGTCCCAGTTGTCCCGTTGGTCCAGAGGGAGGTCCCAGCAGGAATTGTGGGTTCCACAGGTGCTCCAGGTGTCCCCAGAGGCGTTCCAGGTGTCCCCAAAGGCGTCCCAGGTGTCCTCAAAGGTGTTCCAGGTGTCCCCAAAGGCGTCCCAGGTGCCACCTCAGGTGTCCCCACCACTGTCCCATTGGGCATCCAGGTTGACCCATTGGGTGTCCAGGTGGTCCCAGCGGCTCCAGCCCCAGGTAGGGACGTCCCAGCAGGAATTTTGGGTCCCTTGGGTGTCCCCAGAGGTGTCCCAGGTGTCCCCAAAGGTGTCCCAGGTGTCCCCAAAGGCGTCTCAGGTGTCCCCAAAGGCGTCCCAGGTGCCACCTCAGGTGTCCCCACCACTGTCCCATTGGGTGTCCAGGTGGTCCCAGCGGCTCCAGCCCCAGGTAGGGACATCCCAGCAGGAATTTTGGGTCCCTCAGGTGTCCCCAGAGGTGTCCCCAAGGTGTCCCAGGTGTCCCAAAGGTGTCCCAGGTGTCCCCAGAGGCGTCCCAGGTGCCACCTCAGGTGTCCCCACCACTGTCCCATTGGGTGTCCAGGTTGTCCCAGCGGCTCCAGCCCCAGGTAGGGCCATCCCAGCAGGAATTTTGGGTCCCTCAGGTGTCCCCAGAGGTGTCCCAGGTGTCCCCGAGGCGTCCCCTCGGATGTGACGTCCCCCGGCGCGTTGTAGACCTGGGCTCCCACCACGGCCAAGAGCAGCACCAGGAGCCTCTTGGCCACGCTCGGTTCCTCTCCTGGGGGGCTCCTTCGCACCTGGGGGGGGCAAATAAATCACTTTTTGGGCAAATAAATCACTTTTTGGGGAAAAAAATGCCATTTTGGGGGGTAAATAAATGTCCCCCCTCAGGTCAGGGAACCCATCCAAGGGCTAACCCTGCCCGAGCCTGCTGAGCTTCCTGAGGGTGAGGGGGGAATTAACCCCCCCCAGGTGGGAAAAAAAATCGCTTTTTGGGTAAATAAATCCCTTTTTTGGGCAAATAAATCACTTTTGGGGGTAAATAAATGACTTTTAGGGGAAAAAAAAAGCCATTTTGGGGGGGTAAATAAATGTCCCCCTGCCCGAGCCTGCTGAGCTTCCTGAGGGTGAGGGGGGAATTAAAATCCACCCTGGGGGCAAAAAAATCCCTTTTTGGGTAAATAAATCACTTCTGGGGCAAATAAATCACTTTTGAGTGCAAAATAAACCCCAAGGGCTCCCAAAAATGCCCAATCCCCCGGACTTTGGGACCACCCCCAGCGAGGGCACCGGGTCGGGCTGAGTCAGAAGGTGGGGTGGAAATGAGTCACCCCCCCAACACTTCCGGGAAATGAGGTTAATTAAGGATTCCGCGGTTAATTAAGGAGTCCAGGGGGTAATTAAGGGGTGCCGGAAGGCGGGGAGAGACCCCCTAAAATCATCCCGAGTGAGGGGGAAGCCCCCAAAAACCTCTCCCACGGAGTGTGGGGGGGGAAGGATAAATCACTCAAATCCCTTTTTTTGGGGGTGCGGGGATTTGGGGGGCTATTTTAGGGGATTAGGGGGAGTTGTGGGGAGGCAGAGGGGAGATATGGGAGGATTTTGGGGGGGTAGGGGCGATTTTAGGGGCGCTTGAGGGATTTGGGGGGATTTCAAAGGGATTTAGGGGGTACAAGGGGATTTGTGGGGTGGGTCTAGTGGGGCACAGGGGGCCGGGCAAGGGAAGACTCCCCAAAATCACCCCAAAACCCCCCCCTCCCCAAAAAAATTACTCACGGCGGGCGGGTAAAGGACTCGTCGATGCCTCCGGCGGGGTCTTGGGGGGCTCCGCGACCCCCCCGCGAGGGGCTCGAAGGTGAAATAGCGGGGGGGGGAAGGGGCGACCCCCCCGGGGACCCCTCGGGAGAACCCCAAAAGCGCTGGGGACACGTGGCCGCCACCATCGCGCTCATGACCGACGATTTTTTGGGGGCTAGACTGGTGGTTTTGGGGGCGTTCGGGGGGGTTTTATAGCGCAGAGGGGAGGGAAGGGGTGACGTCATCGGGGCGGTAAAACGGGAAGGCCACGCCCCTGAGAAAGGGGGATTTTGGGGGAATTTAGGGGGCTTTGAGGGGTTTTGGAGGGAGGGGATTTTAGGTGTACGGGGCTGTTTTGAGGGGATAAGGAGGGATTTTGGGGGGGGGATTTGAAGGGGTTTAGGGTGTCGTAGGGGGTCCCAGACATGGGGGGAGTTTCCTCAAAAACCGGGCTGGGGGAGGGGCGGATTTCCCCGCTTTAAAGGAGCGGGAAATCCCCACCCTTGGAATCCCTGGAATTCTTTCGATCCGGTGCCTCCCGGCTCCTCCCCGCCGTGGTGTCCCCCCAATCCTTTAGGGGGAGGGTCGCGTATTTTTGGGAAGGGTCGCGTATTTTTGGGGAGCGTCCCACCCCTCAAACCCTCCCTAACCCTCCCCCAAATCCCTTCGTTTTCCAAGCCCATCCCACTTTTTTTTTTGAGGGGTGTGGGGGGTAAGGGCGTGGAAATCCGGGAATGACGCAAATCCCGCCCCCGCCTCCCCCATGACTCAGATTTTGGGAACGCGGTGCTTTCCCAACCACCCCCCCTCCCCCTTTGCTCCAACCCCTCGGCCCCTCGGAGCTTTTGGGGGAGCCCTAAAACTTCGGGAACCCCCCCAAATTTTGGGGGTAGCGCTCTAAAAACTCCCATGAGGCCTCGTGGGGTTTTTAAACCCCCCAAAAAAGGGGGTCCCCGGGGGGGCTCCCTCCGCTCCCGGTTGTGCAATGGGGGAAAAACCCCCATGACGAGTGTGGAAAGTGTGTGTGGAAGTTATGGGACCCTCCCCCGGTTTTGGGACCCCTCCCCCTTTATAGCACCCCTTGGGTTTTGGGATCCCCCAGCGTTTGGAACCCACCAAGGGGGTCCCGAGGGTCCAACCCCCCCCCCTCCCCCAAAAGATGACACGAACACGAGAGACCCCAAGAACTTTGGATATATTAAATGTAAAAATCTCCCTTTTCAGCCCCAAATATTTACAGCCCCTCCCCGCTACAAAAATCCACGCCCCCAGTGCGGATATTCCCACAATGAGGCCACACCCACTGCTAATTAGCACCTAATTAATGAGGAATGAGGGGGTCTGGGGACTCCTGGGTGGTCCCACATCAGGACATCAGGAGGTTTGGGCTCCTCTGGGGGAGGAGGAGGAGGAGAAGGAGGAAGGGGGTGAAGAAAGGAGGAGGAGGAAGATGAAGGTGGAGGAGGAAGATGAAGGTGGAGGATGAAATGAAGGAGGAGGATGAAGGTGGTGGATGATGAAGAGGAGGAGGATGAAGAGGAGGAGGAGGATGAAATGAAGGTGGAGGATGAAGGTGGTGGATGATGAAGAGGAGGAGGATGAAGAGGAGGAGGAGGATGAAATGAAGGTGGAGGATGAAGTTGGTGGATGATGAAGGAGGAGGATGAAGAGAAGGAGGAGGATGAAGGTGGTGGATGATGAAGGAGGAGGATGAAGAGAAGGAGGAGGATGAAGGTGGTGGATGATGAAGAGGAGGAGGATGAAGAGGAGGAGGAGGATGAAACGAAGGTGGAGGATGAAGGAGGAGGATGAAGAGAAGGAGGAGGATGAAGTTGGTGGATGATGAAGAGGAGGAGGATGAAGGAGGAAGATGAAGAGAGGAGGAGGATGAAATGAAGGTGGAGGATGAAGGTGGTGGATGATGAAGAGGAGGAGGATGAAGGAGGGTTGAAGATGACGATGATGAGGAGGAGGAGGATGACGATGAAGGTTCATCCCAGCGCCGCCGGGTCCTGCAGCAGCTGGGTCAGGATGACGATGACGATGACGACGATGACGATGACGATGAAGGCTCATCCCAGTGCCGAGGCGGTCGCGATGAGTAGCGATGGATGATGATGACGACGACGATGATGACGATGACGACGACGATGATGATGACGACGACGATGATGACGATGATGATGATGATGATGATGACGATGACGATGATGACGATGAAGGCTCATCCCAGCGCCGAGGGGTCCCGCAGCAGCTGGGTCAGGATGACGATGATGACGATGATGACGATGACGATGACGATGAAGGCTCATCCCAGTGCCGAGGGTCCCGCAGCAGCTGGGTCAGGATGATGATGATGATGACGATGATGATGACGATGATGACGATGAAGGCTCATCCCAGCGCCGCCGGGTCCCGCAGCAGCTGGGTCAGGATGACGATGATGATGATGACGATGATGACGATGAAGGCTCATCCCAGCGCCGCCGGGTCCCGCAGCAGCTGGGTCAGGATGATGATGATGATGATGACGATGATGATGATGACGATGATGATGATGACGATGACAATGACGATGACGATGATGACGATGATGATGATGATGATGGCGATGATGGCGGCGGCGATGATGATGATGACGATGATGACGATGAAGGCTCATCCCAGCGCCGCCGGGTCCCGCAGCAGCTGGGTCAGGATGACGATGACGATGATGACGATGATGATGACGACGATGAAGGCTCATCCCAGTGCCGCCGGGTCCCGCAGCAGCTGGGTCAGGATGATGATGATGACGATGATGACGATGATGATGACGATGGCGATGATGATGATGACGATGATGACGATGAAGGCTCATCCCAGCGCTGCCGGGTCCCGCAGCAGCTGGGTCAGGAGGCCGAAGGTCGGCCGCTCCGACGCCTCCCGGGCCCAGCAGCGAAGCATCACCTTGTGCAGGGCCGGGGGGCACCCGGGGGGGCACGGCAGGTACTCCTGGGGGGGAACTGGGCTGACTGGGAGGGGACTGGGAGGGACTCCCCGTGCCTCCCAGTGCCTCCCAGTGCCTCCCAGTGCCCTATAGCCCCTCCCAGTGCCCCATAACTCTCTCCCAGTACCTCCCAGTGCCCCATAATCCCCTCCCAGTACCCCGTAACCCCTTCCCAGTCCCTTCCCAGTGCCTCCCAGTGCCCCATAACCTCCTCCCAGTGCCCGATAACCCCCTCCCAGTGCCTCCCAGTCCCTTCCCAGTGCCTTCCATTGCCCCATAACCCCCTCCCAGTGCCCTCCCAGTGCCTTCCATAACCTCCTCCCAGTGCCCCATAACCCCCTCCCAGTGCCTCCCAGTGCCCCCAGTCCCTTCCCAGTGCCTTCCAGTGCCCCATAACCCCCTCCCAGTGCCCCATAACTCTCTCCCAGTGCCCCATAACCCCCTCCCAGTGCCCCATAACTCTCTCCCAGTGCCACATAACCCCCTCCCAGTGCCCTCCCAGTGCCACATAACCCCCTCCCAGTGCCCTCCCAGTGCCTCCCAGTGCCCCATAACCCCCTCCCAGTGCCCTCCCAGTGCCTCCCAGTGCCCCATAACCCCCTCCCAGTGCCCCACAACTCTCTCCCAGTGCCCCCCAGTTCCCTGCCGTGCCCACCTGCTGTCCCTGGCCCCTGAAGTGGTGGCCTGCGTTGGCGATGACCTGCCTTCCCAGTGCCCTCCCAGTGCCCTCCAGTGCCCCATAACCCCCTCCCAGTGCCTCCCAGTGCCCCATAACCCCCTCCCAGTGCCCTCCCAGTGCTTCCCAGTGCCCCATAACCCCCTCCCAGTGCCCTCCCAGTGCCCCCCAGTGCCCCATAACCCCCTCCCAGTGCCCCCAGTGCCTTCCCAGTGCCCCCAGTGCCTTCCCAGTGCCCCCAGTGCCTTCCCAGTGCCTCCCAGTGCCCCATAACCCCCTCCCAGTGACCCACAACTCTCTCCCAGTGCCCCCCAGTCCCTTCCCAGTACCCACCTGCTGTCCCTGGCCCCTGAAGTGGTGGCCTGCGTTGGCGATGACCTGCCTTCCCAGTGCCCTCCCAGTGCCCTCCAGTGCCCCATAACCCCCTCCCAGTGCCCCACAACTCTCTCCCAGTGCCCCCCAGTCCCTTCCCAGTGCCTCCCAGTGCCTCCCAGTGCCCCCCAGTCCCTTCCCAGTGCCTCCCAGTGCCCCACAACCCCCTCCCAGTGCCCCACAACTCTCTCCCAGTGCCCCCCAGGTCCCTTCCCAGTGCCCTCCAGTGCCCCATAACCCCCTCCCAGTGCCTCATAACCCCGTCCCAGTGCCCCACAACTCTCTCCCAGTGCCCTCCCAGTGCCCCATAACCCCCTCCCAGTGCTTCCCAGTGCCCCCCAGTCCCTTCCCAGTGCCCACCTGCTGTCCCTGGCCCCTGAAGTGGTGGCCTGCGTTGGCGATGACCTGCTCGTCGCTGAGGCTCCCGTAGGGCTGCTCCCGGCACCGCGTCAGCACCTCCCACAGCGTCACCCCGAAGGCCCAGGCGTCGCTGGCCGGGCTGAACGTGCCCTGGGGGGGAGGAAATTCCTGGGCTGACAGACCCCCATCCTTCCCCAAACGCCCCCAATCCCCGCTTTTCCCACCCTGATCCTCATTTCCCCCACTTTTCCCACCCTAATCCTCATTTCCCCCACCCCAAACCCCGCTTTTCCCACCCTGATCCTCATTTCCCCCATCCCAAACCCTGCTTTTCCCACCCTGATCCTCATTTCCCCCACCCCAAACCCCTTTTTCCCACCCAATCCCACCCCAAACCCCACTTTTTCCTACCCCTAATCCTCTTTTTCCCACCCCAAATCCCCTTTTCCCACCCCAAACCCTCATTTTCCCCCAATTTCCCCACCTAATCCTCATTTTCTCCCCCAAACCCCGTTTTTCCACCCTGATCCTCATTCTCCACCCCAAACCCCATTTTCAACCCTAACCATTTCCCCATTTCCCACCTAATCCTCATTTCTCCAGCCCAAACCCCGCTTTTCCCACCTGATCCTCATTTCCCCCATCCCAAACCCCGCTTTTCCCATCCACCAATCCCCATTTCTCCCCCAAATCCCCTTTTCCCCATTTTCTCCACCCAAACCCCTATTTTTCCCCATTTTTCCTCATTTTCCCCCCCAAACCCCCATTTCATTCCCATTTTCCCACCCCAAACCCCTTTTTCCCACCCATTTTCTCCCCCAAACCCCTGTATTTTCCCACCATTTTTCCTCATTTTCTCCCCCAAACCCCCATTTTTCCCATTTCCTCACCCCAAACCCCATATTTTTCCCCATTTTCCCATTTCTCACCCCAAACCCCAATTTTCCCCATTTCTCCCCCAAACCCCATATTTTTCCCCATTCTTCCCATTTTCTCACCCCAAACCCTCATTTTTCCCCATTTTCTCCCCCAAACCCCCATTTTTCCCATTTTCCCCTTTCCCCTCCCTCACCATGAGGATGCACTCCCAGGCCATCCAGCGGATGGGCAGCAGAACCCAAATCCCCCTTTTCCCACCCCAAACCCCATTTTTCCCCATTTCTCCCCCCAAACCCCTATATTTTTCCCATTTTTTTCCCATTTCTCCCCCAAACCCCCATTTTTCCCATTTCTCCCCCAAACCCTATATTTTCCCCATTTTTCCCATTTCTCCCCCAAACCCCATTTTTCCCCATTTCTCTCCCCCAAACCCCTATTTTCCCCCATATCCCCATTTTCTCCCCCAAACCCCCATTTTCTCCACCCTAAACCCCCATTTTTCCCCATTTTTCTCCCCAAGCCCCATTTTCCCCCTTTTCCCCCTCCTCACCATGAGGATGCACTCCCAGGCCATCCAGCGGATGAGCAGCAGAGACCCCAAATCCCCCTTTTCCCACCCCAAATCCCCCATTTTCCCCTTTTTTCCCCAAACCCCCTTTTTGTTCCCCATTTCTCCCCCAAATCCTTTTCTCACCCCAAACCCCATTTTCTCCCCCAAACCCCCATTTTTCCCATTTCCTTCCCCAAACCCTATTTTTTCCCCCAAATCCCTTTTCTCCCCCAAACCCCCATTTTTCCCCATTTTCCCCCTTTTCCCCCCTCCTTCACCATGAGGACTCCCAGGCCATCCAGCAGATGGGCAACAGGGCCCCAAATCCCTCTTTTTCACCCCAAACCCCGTTTTCTGCCCCCAAACCCCAATTTTTCACGTTTTCCCACCCCAAACCCCCATTTTTTCCCATTTTCTCTCCCCAAACCCCCATTTTTTCCCCATTTTTTCCCCATTTCCCCCAAACTCCCAATTTTTCTCCCAAACCCCATTTTTCCCATTTTCCTTTTCCCCCCTCCTCACCATGAGGATGCACTCCCAGGCCATCCAGCGGATGGGCAGCAGGGCCCTGCCCCGCACCCGGTAGTAGTCGCCGGCGTAGAGGTTGCGGCTCATCCCGAAATCGGCCACCTTGACGGTGATGCCGTCGCCCACCAGGCAGTTCCGCGTGGCCAAATCCCGGTGCACGAAGTTCAGCCCCGCCAGGAACCTCATCCCGGAGGCGATCTGGGCCCCCACGTGCAGCAGGGTGGGCAGGCTGGGCGAGGGGAGGGGCTTAAGAGGGTGTGGTGGGAGGGGGGAGGGGCTTAGAGGGGAAGGGGGAGGGGCTTAGAAGGGTGTGGTGTGGGAGGAGCTTAAAGGGGTGTGGTGGGGAGAGGAAGGGGCTTAAAGGGGTGTGGTGTGAAGGGGAGGGGCTTAGAGGGTGTGGTTTGAAGGAGGAGGAGCTTAGAGAGGGGTGTGGTAAAGGGAGGGGCTTAAAGGGGCGTGGTGTGTGGTGGGAGGGGCTTAGAGGGAGTGTGGTGTTGGTGGGAGGGGCTTAGAGGAGTGTGGTATGAGAGGAGGGGCTTAGAGGGTGTGGTATAAAGGGGAGGGGCTTAGAGGGGTGTGGTGAGAGGAGGGGCTTAGAAGGTGTTAGTGTTGGTGGGAGGGGCTTAGAGGATGTGGTATTGGTGGGAGGAGCTTAGAGGGGTGTAGTGGGAGGGGGAGGGGCTTAAAGGGGTGTGGGTGTTGGAAGGAGGGGCTTAAAGGGGTGTGGTAGGGTAAGGGAGGGGCTTAAAGGGGTGTGGCAGGAAGGAGAGGGCTTAGAGGGGTGTGGTGGAGAAGGGAGGGGCTTAAAGGGATGTGGTGTTGGTGGGAGGGGCTTAGAGGATGTGGTTGTTGGTGAGGCAGGGGCTTAAGGGGTGTGGCAGGAAGGGAGGGGCTTAGAGGATGTGGTGTTGGTGGGAGGGGCTTAAAGGGGTGTGGAGGGAAGGGGAGGGGCTTAGAGGGGTGTGGTGTGAAGGGGAGGGGCTTAGAGGGGTGTGGTGTTAAGGTGGGGGGGCTTAGAGGGGTGTGGTGTGAAGTGGGAAGGGGCTTAAAGGGGTGTGGCAGGAAGGGAGGGGCTTAAGGGGTGTGGTAGGAAGGGAGGGGCTTAAGGGGTGTGGGCAGGAAGGGAGTGGCTTGGAGAGGTGTGGGTGGGAAGGCGAGGCTTAGAGGGATGTGGCTTAGTGGAAGGAGGCTTAAAGGGGTGTGGTGGGAAGGGGAGGGGCTTAGAGGGTGTGTTGCTGGTAGGAGGGGCTTAAAGGGGTGTGGCAGGAAGGGGAGGGGCTTAGAGGGGTGTGATTTGAAGGGGAGGAGCTTAGAGAGGTGTGGTAAAAGGAGGGGCTTAAAGGGGCGTGGTGTTGGTGGGAGGGGCTTAGAGGGGTGTGGTGTTGGTGGGAGGGGCTTAGAGGGGTGTGGTATAAAGGGAGTGGCTTGAGAGGTGTGGTGGGAGGGGAGGGGCTTAAAGAGGTGTGGTGTTGGTAGGAGGGGCTTAGAGGGGTGTGGCATGAAGGGGAGGGGCTTAGAGGGAAGGGGTGGAGCTAAAGGGAAAAGGGTGGGGATTAAAATAAAGGGGTGGGTTTTAAGGCTGAGAGGGAGGGGCTTGAAGGGGTGTGGCCCCCAGGGGGGGCGTGGCTTAACCCCAGGTCTTAAAGGGCCAGGACCCCAAAGAAGTCAAAGGCACGAGGAAGGAGGGGGTGGGTCTGGGTGTGGGTGGGGGGTGGGCGTGGCCGTGGGTGGGGCGGGGTGGGGAGGGCGTGTCCCACCTGAGGGCGGGGCCTCGGGGCCCCCCCAGGAACTGGTGGAGGTCCCCGTGCTCCATGTACTCGGTGATGATGCACAGGGGCCGGGCCCCCGCACACCCCCAGCAGCCGCACGATGTTGGGGTCCCGCAGCCGCCCCAGCGTCCGGGCCTCCTGCAGGAAGTCCCTCCTGGGCCCCCCGCCCCAGAAAACGGTGAGAGGGGGTCTCTACACCCCTCCGTGAATGCCTGACCCCTCCCCAGACCTGTTGGACCCCCCGTTGCACACCTGGACTGCCCCTCAAACCCTCCCCACAGCCCCCTCAAACCTCCCCTAGACCCTCCCCTGTCCCCCTGTGTCCCCCCACCCTCTCACCTCCCCCAAATCCCCCCAGTGGACCCCCCCAAGCCCCCTCCCCATTACCGGGCGTTCTTGGAGGCATCAGGTCTCAGCACCTTCACCGCCACCAGCAGGGGGCGCCCTCGGCCCGGGGAGGCGGGGCCAGCGAGAGGGGGCAGGGCCTCGGCCTCGGTGACCTCACACAGCAACACCTGGGGGCGGGGTCAAGGGGAAAGGGGTGGGGCTAAACGACTAAGGGGAGGGGCTAAAGGACTAAGGGGAGGGGCTAAATGATCAAGGGGTGGGGCTAAACACTAGGGGGGCGTGTCTTTCACATTAGGGGGCGTGGCTTACCTCCCCGAACTGCCCCTCCCCCAACTTCTCCCGGAACCGGAGGCGTCCCCGTGGGAAGGAGGGGAGGGGGGCGTGGCAGGGGGCGGGGCCAGCCACGGCATAGGCGGAGCCTCCAGTGACGTCAGCCTCAGCATAAGCCCCGCCCCCAGCCACGCCCTCAGATTCAGAGACACCTGGAAGTGGAGAGAGGGTGGGGTCAGAGGGGGGCGTGGCTACCTTAGGAGGGGGCGTGGCTTCCCTCCTGACCCCACCCTTACCATCTGTGTTGATTGGTTTTGCCATGGTGGGCGTGGCCCGGACGAGGCCCCCCATTGGCTGGGCATAGGTGGTCAAGTAGGAGCCGGTAGGCCGGGTTGGCCAATGGGGCTGTGGGAAAAGGAGAAGGGGGCGTGGTCAATGAGGGGGTGTGGCCGGGAGGCTCCGCCCCCTCAAAATCCAGGTTGGAAGGATCCTTGGGGGGGGAGGGTTGGGGTCTCCCTCCCCCCTTCTTTCCCTCCCTTTTTCCTTCCCTCTCTCTTTCCTCCCATCCAATCGTCCCTTCCCTCTCTCCCTCCTTCTCTCCACGCCTGCATTCCTCCCTCCCTCCATCCTTCCCTCCTCCATCCCTTCCTCCTCCCTCCTTCCCTCCTCCTCCCTCCCTCTCCTCCCTCATCTCCTCATCCATCTCTCCCCTTCTTCCTCTCCTCCCTTCATTATCCATCTCCCCTCCCTCCCTCCCTTCATTATCCATCTCCCCTCCCTCCCTCCTCTCTCTCTCATTATCCATCTCCCCCTCCCTCCCTCCCTCCCTTCATTATCCATCTCCCCCTCCCTCCCTCTCCTTCATCCTCCTTCTATCCATCCTCTCCTCCCTTCTTCCCTCCTCCATCCATTCATTATCCATCTCCCCTCCCTCTCCCATCTCTCCTCCCTCCCCTCCATTATCCATCTCCCCCTCCCCTCCCTCCCTTCATTATCCATCTCCCCTCCCTCCTCCTTCATTATCCATCTCCCCTCCCTCCCTCCCTTCATTATCCATCTCCCCCTCCTCCCTCCCTTCATTATCCATCTCCCCTCCCTCTCTCCCTTCATTATCCATCTCCCCTCCCCTCCTCCTCCCTCCCTCCCTCCCCTCCCCCTGCCCCTCCCCCCACCCCTCACCATTCCTGGTCGTTCCAGGCCGTTCTTGGGGTTGTCCGGTGGGTTCCTGGTACTCCCCGCTCCGGGGATCCTTCAGTAGCGGGGAGCCCCGGGCCCCCCTGTGTTGTTGTTGATGACCACGGTGTCCCCCGGCCCCGAGAGCTGCACCCGTAGCTCTGCCTCCGACCGCTGTGCCTGGGCGCCAGTTCACGCCAGTCCACACCAGTCCACACCAGTCCACACCACTTCGGACCGGTAACTCATGTCCAGGTTATCAGCTCATCCCAGTTAGCCCCGAAACTCAGCTGTCTGGGTTCTCAGTTCACCCCAGTTCATCCCAGTTAACCCCGAAACTCAGCTATCTGGGTTCCCAGTTCACCCCAGTTCATCCCAGTTAGCCCTGAAACTCAGCTATCTGGCTTCCCAGTTCATCCCAGCTCATCCCAGTTAACCCTGAAACTCAGCTATCTGGGTTCCCAGTTCACCCCAGTTAGCCCTGAAACTCAGTTATCTCTGTTCCCAGTTCATCCCAGTTCACCCCAGTTAGCCCCGAAACTCAGCTGTCTGGGTTCCCAGTCCACCCCAGTTCATCCCAGTTGACCCATTACTCTCCCAGTCCCTCCCGATCCCTTCCAGTTTCTCCTCCCAGTCCCTCCCAGTCCCTCCCTGTGCCCTCCCAGTGCCCCACCCACCTTGCCCAGAGCCCTCCCCCAGCGGTGCCGGCAGAGGATGAGGGCGATGACGGCCAATAGGAGCAGGATGATGGCCACCAGGCAGCCAATCAGGGTCGAGCTGTGGCCGGGCTCGGCCTTGGCCATTGGTTGGCCTGGTCTGGGGGCTGCTGGAAGGGGGCGGGGCTTAGTCTGGTCCCATTTAGCCCCGCCCAGTTAAGCCCCGCCCAGTTAAGCCCCGCCTTACCCAAGGTGGTGCTGTTGGTGGTGCTGTTCCCGCTCCAGGGGTTTTCCGGGAAGGCCACGCCCCCTCCGGAGGGATTGCGGGTTGGGGCTGGGGGGGGCCACCCGCTGGCACCCACCCCCTCCTCCACCACGTCTGCGGGGCAGGGAGACCCCCCCGGTGACGTCATCACCCAGTCGGTGACGTCATCGACCAACCGGTGATGTCGTCAGCCCACCAATGAGGTCATCAACCAGTCGATGACGTCATCACCCAGCCAACCACCCCATCACCCACCTAATGACCCCACCACCCAACCAATGACATCATCACCCAACCAATGATGTCATCACCCAACCAATGACTCCCCCACCCAAACAATGATGTCATCACCAAACAATGATGTCATCACCCAACCAGTGATGTCATCACCCAACCAATGACGTCATCACCCATCCAATGACTCCCCCACCCAACCAATGATGTCATCACCCAACCAGTGACTCCACCACCCAACCAATGACGCCATCACCCATCCAATGACTCCCCCACCCAACCAATGATGTCATAACCCAACCAACGACTCCACCACCCATCCAATGACATCATCACCTAACCAATGATGTCATCACCCAAACAATGATGTCATCACCCAACCAATGACGTCATAACCCAACCAATGATGTCATAACCCAACCAATGACATCATCACCCAACCAATGACTCCCCCACCCAACCAATGACGTCATCACCCAACCAATGATGTCATCACCCAACCAATGACTCCACCACCCAACCAATGATGTCATAACCCAACCAATGACTCCCCCAACCAACCAATGACGTCATCACTCAACCAACAACTCCATCACCCATCCAATGACATCATCACTCAACCAATGACTCCACCACCCATCCAATGACATCATCACCCAACCAATGACTCCACCACCCAACCAGTGACTCCCCCACCCAACCAATGACGCCACCACCCACCCCGTGACCCCAGCACCTACCCAAGCCCCCCAGGAGCCGCCCCCCAGCCCCAGGAGCCCCCCCAGGGGGCCGCACCCGACAGGAAGGTGACCTCGCTGAAGAGCAGCCACTCGGCGGCGAAGGAGAAGCGGCAGCGCACGAAGCGGGCGCGGCGCCCGCCCAGGGGGACGGTGACGGAGCGGGCGCTGGGGTCCTGGATGGCCCCCAGGCTGTGGGTGGCCACCACGGCCTCCCAGGCGGTGGCCAAGCTCCTCTTGAAGCGGCACTCGGCGGCGCCGAAGATCCGCACCCCCCTGGTGTGCATGTTGTTGCAGTGGACCTGGGGGGAGGCGGAGAGGGACGTTGGGGGTAGGGGTGACCACCCTTCCCGTGGTGCATTTGGGGCATTTGGGACCAGAGCCAAAGGGGCTCCGGTGGAAAACTCCAACCCTTGGTCGGGTTTGGAGGTGGTGAATCTTCATCCACCCACTGATGGACGACCCTTCCCACAATTTCCCTTTTCCCCCCCTGTAATTCCCGGAGGGACAATCCCAGAGTTCCCTGGGCTTTACCTGCATGGCCCGGAAGGTGCGGAGCCCCTGGAACTCAAACTCCAGCTCCAGGTGGGGCTGGGGGCCGGGGGGCCGGGGCCACCCCACGTAGTCGTAGCCCGGCCAGAGCCGGCGCTCACGGGGCCTCATAAAGTCGTCCAGGCCCAGCACCCCGTCCGTCAGCTGGCCCAGCCCCCCGAAGTGCAGCCTAGGGGGGGACAAGCCGGCATCACCAGGGGGGGCCCGGGACCCCCCCATGGGACACTCAGGTCACCTGGATCCCACCACACCCACCTGGGACCCCCCCGTGGGACACCTGGGGATAGTGTGGGGACACTTGGAGGCGGTTTGGGGACATTTGGGGCCGTTATATTTGCGGGGTGTCAGGGTGGGCTGGGGCAGGTGGCCCTTGAGGACCCTTGGGGACAGTTGGGGACAGTTGGGGACAGTTGTGGACTCACGGGCCGGTGCTGGAGCCGTCGTAGGTGGAGTCGTTGAGGACGACGGGGGTGGGGTCGAGGGGCATCACGTGGCCCCGCGGCGCCGTGTAGGACACGAGCCCAGCTGGGGACATTTGGGGACATTTGGGGACATTTGGGGACATTTGGGGACACCTGGGGACGCGTCAGGGCAGGGGGGGATGGCGGCACACGATCAGTGATGTCACCGCCCAACCAATGACGTCATCACCCAACCAATGATGTCATCATCCAATCCATGATGTCATCACCCAAACAGTGAGCCCCATGACCCAACCAATGACGTCATCGCCCAACCAATGACCCCACCACGCAACCAATGACATCATCACCCAAACAGTGACCCCATTACCCAACCAGTGACCCCATCACCCAACCAATGACGTCATCACCCATCCAATGACCCCATCACCCAACCAATGACGTCATCACCCAACCAGTGACCCTACCACCCAATCAATGACCCCACCACCCAATCAATGACCCCACCACCCAACCAACGACATCATCACCCAATCAATGACCCTACCACCCAATCAATGACCCCATCACCCAACCAATGACCCCACCACCCAACCAGTGACCCATCACCCATCCAATGACCCCACCACCCAACCAGTGACCCCATCACCCAACCAATGACGTCACCACCCAACCAACGACCCCATCACCCAACCAATGACCCCATCACCCAACCAGTGACCCCATCCCCCCAGGGCCACCCCGCACTGGTAGGGGGGGGTGTGACTTTGGGGTGACCGTGGGGTGACCCCAGGGGGTTCCCTCTCACCGTCCCAGGGGCAGCCGTAGAGCTCGAGGCGCAGGCAGACGCTCATGGCCCGCGGCGCCCGCGGGTACACGCGCAGCGCCCGCGCCACGGCCGGCGGAGACAGGTCCTTCAGCACCACCCCCTCGGGGTCCTCATTGCCCCCAATCACCTGGGGGGCAAGGGGGGGGTGACAAAGGGATGTTGGGGACATTCCCCGGGGGGTTGGGGACCTCCCCAGTGATCCTGTTGGCCCCCAGGAGCTCCCAGTGATCCCATTGACCTTTGGGACCTCCCCAGTGATCCCATTGACCCCCAGGAGCTCCCAGTGATCCCATTGG